CCCCCCCCCCCCCCCCCTCGAAATTTTAGAGACCCCACCCTCGGAGAAAAAAAGTCTGAAAGAAACACTGCCCCCAAGATCAGATGCTTGAAATAAAATCAGGAAGAATAGTGTTAGATCGGCTGCCTAGACTTAGACACAAGACGCCCACACACACAATACATTAGGCTTTACACGCAATCTGACAACTGCTCTGCACATTGTATCCGCTCCACGTATACAGCGTTATCGCACAGAGAAACATAGTACTCTGTACTAAACACTCGTCATTCATAGCTTGGTCAACATGCATACATACTATGTATCTCTGTATACATAACTATATATATATATATATATATATATATATATATATATATATATATATATATATATATATATATATATATATATATATATAACCAGTGTCCAACCCCTTCCCCCTCCCCCCTTCCACCAGAAATTTAAGTCCGCCCACCAGTATGTCTTCCAGACTTTTTTCTCCGGGGGGGGGGGGGGGGGGCGGACAACATTTTCCGTGGGGGCGGACACTGGTAAAAGTATGTTTTCTATATAAATTCCATTTCGTTAATAATTCAAAAGCAGTGCTAGTGTTAGTCTAGCATAGGAATGCTCTAGCCTACTCTATAAATACACTAAATTCCATTTCGTTCGGGGGGGGGGGGGGGGGGGGGGGGGTAGACGTTCATACACCAAACACCACACACTCAAGGATTTCATACAGCTCACACTGCAATGTCTAGGCGGTTGTGCAGAAACCCACACTAGACAACTTAGATTTTAAAAATGCAGCGCCGGAAATTATAAACTTGATATCTAGGAATAGCCGATGGCACAAAATGATGCGCCATGTTAACGGCAGTGGGTTTTTGTCATTTGGCGCCTTATTTTACAAAATCTTTTTAATCAATTCGCCTTTGGTTGATAAAACTAAGCATTTGGCACATCAGCGATTTAGTTGTATCCCTTTATTCAAGGGAAACAATCAGTATTTTTTTTTTAAAGGAACATTGCAATTTTCCTTGTTTGAAAAATATTGATTGAGCTCTTTTCGTTAAATTCAAATTTAAAAAAAATAAATCACTCCAGTGTTTTATGGCATGTGCCCGTATTAGTATTATATAACACAAAAAAAGAGTATTTTCAAAGATCAAAAACCTCAAAATAGGCTATATAACCTTCCTAGGACCCCCCCCCCCCCCCCCCAGGATTAAACTATGGAAGCAAACTGAACTGTTGAAGCATCCGCCAGACAATTACTACAGTTAACTAATGTGTACCATTGTAGGCCTTAAATGTGTTGGAGATTTTAACTTTGTAACACCAAACAATTTTGTAAAAGAAACTTACAAATGTATCAAATATATAGGCCTACTACACTTGTGTCTTGAAATAATACCTTTATAATAATTTACAAGTTAGGTAAAATTAATAATTATTGAAAAATTAGTAATTCAAAAGCAGTGCTAGTGTTAGGCTAGCATAGGGATGCTCTAGCCTACTCTATAAGTACACCAATTCCCCATTTAAAATAACAATCCACCACTGAGCCACAATTTGTGTATTGTATAACATACATGACCCTTCAGTCACAGTGAGTTTAAGCAAGCTGCCTACATTTATACAACTTCCATGATCTGAGTTGCTCTAAAGTTGAGTTCTAATATCGTTTATTTCTTCAAAGCTGGTGTTGAGCATTTGAATACACAAAACTGAATGTGTAGTTTTATTTGTTTTCTGACTCAGTGTGTAGCTTTCTCATCCTGTTTAGTTGTGATTCTGTCTGCAACTGAATGTGTAATTTTATTATCTTTTTATAAGTGTTCTGTATCTGTCTGTGTGTGCAGTCTAGTTTCTGTTACCTGTCTTACTGTAAAGAAAAAAAAACAGCATTGAAACAATCTGGGGTTTGAGCACACTTTTTTATTACCTCCTAAAGCACATAAATCTTCAAAAGAATCAGGGGAGATAATGCTTTCTTTGTGGAACATTTTGGTTCAAACTTCTAAGCTGGGTTTTTAAAAATGTCACAAAATTGTTTAATATGAGGTTTTATAAAGTGGTTTTTAATCCTAAACTATACTTCATGAATTATGAAAAAAACAACAAAACAATGCCAATTGTAACATGTTTTTAACAGCTTATAACTAATCTAGTCAGTGTGAAGAATTACACAAAATTGCCAGGGGTTGTTTTCATTTCAATATAAGGCATATAAGATAATTGCAACTAAACACACACAAGCACACAAAGAATACAACTGTTTTGTGGTAATTAAAAATGATAAGAAATCTTGCTGATGGAAAGGATTTCAGGAAGGGCTGGGTTGGCTTGCTGTTTAGTTGGACAACTGTATCAAAGTCTGACCAAAGGGAGAGAAGCTGATAAATTGCTTTTAACACTTGTTCATACACTATTATATTTGTAATATAATAGTGTATGACAAGTTTTAAAAACAATTTAGCACTTGTTTATACACTATTATATTTATAATATAAAAGTCATTTGAAGGATTAGTTTCAGCAGTTATATTGGACATACAATGTTACTATTTAATTTTTGTAAAGAAATTCTATCTACAAAACCGTCAGACTGATTTAAATTGTTTGAACAAGTGCTTTAATTTGTAATGGATCTGGTTTTATAAACACCTCAGCTGTAAGTTAAAAGAAATAAACATAACTATTTTGCTTATAGAACTAAAAAGATGTCTTGGTCAAAAAATACCTATTTCTAAATTTTAAAGAAATGAAAAAGAAATCTTAAGAAATAACACACAAAAACAACAAAATCTTTTAAGTGAATCAAATGATGAGCTCAAAGTTTTGTTATTTTGATCAATTAAAGTGGATATTTTATACGTAAGATTACTTGTGGTGGATTTTTCATAAAGTATTTTAAAGTACTTTTTATAATATTCCTTAGTTTTCTAAATGTATTGGTAAGATTTGAACATGGGGCGTAAAAAAAACTATTAACTATAATAAGAATAAACTACATCACCAGTACAAATATTCTAATTAAAGCATCTACATCCAAATCAGACAACTACTTTAGTGCATCTATTGTATTAGAAAAGAGGTAGATATTTTTTTATGGAATGTGGACCCTACTGATATTTTAAATATACAATACTATAGGATTTTTTTCTTTAACATTAGGATTAAATATGTACATATACACACAAATAAATTATAAAAATAATTGGTTTTATGGGGAAATCACACACAACACATCATTAGGATAAAAAAGACCATTTTCATCTGGACAAATAATGTTAAAATGCACACAATTTTCTGCTTAGGATAATTGATTTTTAAACAAAAATTATATATCAACTTCGATAAATATATTGATTATTATGATGTAAAAAAATGGTCAACAGACAAAAATAAAGCAGTATTCAATATTAGGATAAATCTCTTAGTGATCTGATACACTTTAAGAGTAGGCTACAAGATTTACTTAAAAACTACTAACCCGAGTCCTTTAGAATCTAATAAAAAATGTTAGCTGGTTATATATACAAAAATTGTGACAATGGCAAAGAGAGCTTCTAGATTAACTCTGGAGACATCTACGTTCATTAATCTGGCAATGAAGGGCACTAATACATTTAAAAAATTATCTTATAAATTGTTATAATTTTTTGAAGCAGACTGATATAGAACGTTAAATAAATGTGTCCAATGGATTAAAATGCATAACTTAAATAATACTGCGGTGGAGACCAGATGAATATAATAACACACAATAATTATTTTTTTAAAAAGTAAATAATCATTCTGTATGGATAAATAATATTAGAGATCAAATCTTAATTCATACACTTTTTTTAACAGCAAATATTTCACATCCTTGGCGAGGGGTAAAACGTCACCATCACAGACAAAAATATTAATTAAAAAATCAAGAGAAAGTAAAAGACAAAACAAAGTTCCAAATACAAACAGAATATGTAATGTATTGTTGGGAAAACAATTCTGAGACTTGTATGTAAATGACTAAACAAAATAGGTGAGATTTTCTTTTCATTTTATAAAAATCAACTGATTTGTTTCTGAAGGCACTGAAAATGGCAACAAAAAAGTCTTCTCAGAATGCAGGCACCTCTACAGATTTTATAGTAGCTTGACTAAAAATAAATAAATAATAAAGTGCATTGAATAAATACCATTTGTGAAGTGTTAGACCTTTGTCTAGTTCATACAGACATACAAGAAGGTCTATATTTTCCTACTAGGTCAGATCAATCTCAACCACCTCCTACTCAATCATATAGGGCAGGGGTCTCCAAACTTTTCAGCCCGAGGGCCGCATTAACTATCAAATTTCAGTTCGGGGGCCAGTTTCTTCCAGGCATATCTTTGATTTTTCTTGGCAAAGTTCCTCAGCCATCACCAACAAAGGTTTTTTTCCGTGGACAAAAAGATCTCCGCGGGCCGGATGAAAGGACCTCGTGGGCCGCATCCGGCCCGCGGGCCGTAGTTTGGAGACCCCTGATATAGGGCACAATTGTTTACATTGGTTACTCAGTATAAATGCAGGGTTTAATTAAAATGTTCATTTCCTGTTTTATTCTCTAGCCGTGTTGTGATACACATTACAAAAATGAACTACATGTCTAAAACCCGAGTCATGGGAATAGTTTCCATAAAAATGTGGAGTAGTTGAATCCATCTAAAGCAATCAAAACTTTTAGAGATAAAATATGACTAGTAGCATTTACTCCACCTGAAGTTTTTGTTTTAAATTAGATTAAATAACTTAATGATACTGACTACTAACATATTACTTTAGTATTTAGTCAAATGCCCAGTTGATCAACAAAAAAGTAAAATGCACAATGTTTTAAAAATAAGTTAAATTAGGTAATAATGCCAACAAGAAAAATAACTCTTTTTAACACAAATTAGATACTATAATGAGACATCACAATGTGGATAAATACATGAATCCAAAATAATTTAAATGCTGATTTAAGTGGTGTGAACCCAAGTTTATAATTATGATTGAACAAGGTTCTTTCTTGAGTATAAAATTTTAAAAAGTTGCAAGGATGGAAAAATTCTCACAAATTTGAGGTCTGAGTGTTTCTGCTTAGGCTTAAGTACTTTACCTAACTTTTTAGGACAATAAAATAAACCAAAACTATAAAAACTATTACTTTTTTAAGTTGGTAACTTATATCACGACACAGACTTTCATCTATTTAGCTGCAACCTGAGAAGCTTGTTGAAAGTTTTTTGGGTAGACAAAGCTAAAGTCCTTTGAATATTATCCAATCTGTGACAAGGAAAATATTTCATGCACCTCAGAAATGTTGTTGCCACCCTGATTGGCTGGATTTAAAGTGTGTTCAATAAAATCTACTGTCCCTTGGCTGTCCACCAGTATGATTGTTGTAATCCTGAAAATGTTTTGGAAAATTAGATATTCTTTATGTAAAATGTGTTTAATACAAAATAATAAAACATAAACAATTATAATAAAACAATAAACAAACAATTTAAATATTTTTAAGAAGGGAGCATATTTAATTTTAGCTTTCACTAACACTTAACGAATATTCAACAACTGTATGAGTATTATGGTGAATTAAATTAAAACATAGGTACAAGTATAATTTTAGAAAAATTGAGCTATGGTAAAATATGGCAGAAATTATTACGCCCTAAATGTTGTGCAATTTTAAAGAAAATTCAACAACTGCATTAGCATTTAGAAATATAAAACATAAGGTAAAAGTGTTTTAAAATTTTTAGTTACGATAGAACATGGCAGAGACGATTAAGCCCCTTACGTTGTGAATTTTTAAAGGTCTTTTTGTGACTTTTCAAACAAAATTTAAAAAAAAAATAAAATAAGAGTTAAGAGGTTTTTTATTGACTTAGCAGTAACGGTTAAACCCCTTACGTTGTGCCATATCTAGTAAAATTTAAGAGTTAAGAGGTTTTTTATTGGCTTAGCAGTAATGATTAAACCCCTTACGTTGTGCCATATCTATCATCTGGAGAGTAGACATTGATTGCAGATTGGTGACTCACTCTGTGTGGTGGAAGTCCAGCAACTACAGCTGCTTTCTCTAGCACCGGGTCAGGGAGCAGGCTGGAAGACACAGTTTTATATTGACACCACAAATGTTTGTTATTAAACGAACAGGTATTCCCTACATTCAAATAAGCAAAGGCATAGTATTTATAAATTCTTGGAAAACCATTAAGAAAAATTTCAAGCAAAAAAATGTTAAGACTATAGGAACCATAGTACTGTGGCAACAAGGAGGTGAGTCAACCATTCAATAAAATAAGACCACCAATCAATCACCAACCAGTACACCTAATGAGACCATCACTCAACAGCTAGGACTAAAAAAAAGTAAAGTTCCCTTTTTGAACCAGATGGTCCATGGGGCAAGTGAAGTAGAGTTCACCTGTTCCTGTGACCTCTATATATGAAGGGATATTGTGGTCAGCACTATGCCCAGCCACCTTTACTCTCCCTTACGTGAGTTAAATACCCATCACAGCTGGTTGAACTCAGTGACTTTCTACTGACTTGTACCCAGATTCAAACTAAAGCAGTCTTCAGTTGTTAGCTAGGACTAGCAGCTAAGGTTCTAACCAAAAACATGAGATGGTAATCCCATGAAGATTTCACTTACGATGACTGATCAGACATTAAAGTAAACAGTTCTTGAATGAGGTGCCCCTTCATGTTGACTGTGGGAAATTGTGAAATTATACGCCCAAATCTTTCTCTCCCATGCATAACTTTTTGGAAAGGGTATTCTAAAGGTGAGTTTGAAACAGCAAATGAGGCTGTGGATAAAAATAGAGTTCATTAAAAAGAATACTCTTATTACATTTCAATACTGCTGAATAATCCATAAGAAGACCAATAATAATTTTCAAAATGATAGCCCACAAAAGCCTTGATTACTATTTTAATCACTACACTTACATAGTGTTAAAAATTTCAGTTCACTATACCAGAAGAAATTTATTTTTGTAAGAAGGCTTTCCCTCAAAATATTACAACAAATGGTCTTGTTAAAATCAAGTATATATATAATTTATATAAATTTTGTAGCATTTTAGACCAGAGAAGTAGATTTTTAGTAGACCTACCTCTTCTTTATAAGAAAACTTATGATTTTGCTTTCATTGCTATAGTAATAATAAAGTTCCCTTTCAAAACTGACAGTCCATGGGGCAAGTGAAGTAGCCTGCCTGTTTCTCAGCATTTGATGGGATAGTGTGGTAAGCACTATGCCCAGCTACTTTTACTTACCATCAGAGCTGGCTGAATTCAGGGACATTCTATGGTAATACTGTTTTTAAAAAAAGATTATCGCTATAAATGAAACAAACTTATCCTATCTATACTTACTGTTGGATGGAAGAGTTCGCATGTTGACACAAGAAAAATAATTACTTGCATTGCTCACATAGACAGGTTTAACAGGGAGGTAATCTTCTTGTTTCCTGAAACAGATTTTTGAAAAATAGTTCAATTAGTTTAAAATTAAATTTCATTGTACTACACAAACTATTGTATCAAATTTTAGAAGTAGAACTGCTTATGAGTAGAAATATGTCAGGTTATCATTGCCTAGTGGCTTTATGAAATGTCTAAAACTGTATTCTATTTGTATTAACTGCTATGCTTAATGTTTTAAAAACAAAACCCTTGGCTTATGAGCTTCGTAGAATCGGGCTGTGTTAGAGTTAATAAAGTAAATAAAACATCATTTATCTCAAAAATCATAATAGTATTCTTACATTCAATGGAACTATGAAATTTAGAAGGATATATTCAAGGAACCATGAAATACTTAATTGTGTTGGAGGAAATACCTTTTAAAATTACAATTCACAAAGAAGTAGAAAGGCATAATTCAAGGTAATTTTGTTTCTGAATTCTAAAAATTTACACCCAAGTATTTTTCAAAACATAAGATTACTTTTGTTAGAAATAAAATGTACAAGTAAGAATACAATTTCTGTTAACAAAACAGGTTAACTAAAAAAAAAAAACCAACAACTTCAAAATAAAACTAAACCTTTTGGAACAGTCAACACATTCTCACCCCATATCAAAGAGAATGAGATTAAATCCATTGTACTTGTTCTTTTGTTCTAGAATTTCCTGGGCATAGTCATGGATGTCATGTTTGCCGCTGATGAAGTTTGTGACCAGAAAACCTTGAAGATAAGAATGAAATAAAATAAAGCGGGAGTGATCTCCCCTAAACTTTTCTTGTATATTCTTATATAACACTACGGGGGATGGCAAATCGGGATATCGACATGAGTTTTAATTGCTTAAAATTTTTAAAAGCGAATAAAATCTTGTAGAAAAAATTATTGCATACTAAGTAAACAGTAAACAATGTGTGTATAATAGTGCGTAATTTTTTGAGAAATCGCGAATAGCGTAAAGTACTACTTCCAGAAAACGGAAATTACTCAAAATTTGATAGAAGGCAGAGAATTAGATCTTTTACTTATAAGTGAAATGTTGTTTATCTATCTGAAACAGTAATCAAGTTATAGGCTTTTGAAAAACCAAAAGTAGAATAAGTTCCACTCCCGGTTACCGAAAATCACTGAAAAGTTGATATACAACTACAAATTTCATATAATACTTATATAGATATATGAAATTTCATCAACCTAGCTGTAACGGTACTCAATTATCGTGTTCACAGACATACACACATACATACAAGCACACACACAGATGTAGGAAAAATGGCAAAACTATGTTTTTCCAACTCAGGAAGGTGTAAAACCTTCGATTATTTGCACGATTACCATACTTCCTCTATACTTTGTATAAGATAAAGTAAAAAGAATGAATTGATTGATAATTGTGCATAAGTGTAACCAGAAAAATGCACAACGAAAAACTGCACAATAATGTGAGCAAGGGAATTTTATTATAATAAAACATTTTTCCTTGAAACACGACAAAATAAAAGTGTTTTAGTATTGTTGGTATTTGCACATTTTTTGTTTGCACATTTTTCTGAGAACCGTGCACAAGTTAATTATTTACACATGGAATGGTGAGACGTGAAGGTAAGATTTTAAACAGCTGTAATCAGGATTTTACTCAAGTCTGCAGGTTGAACTTAAGTTCACACAGGTAAAAAAAATGTGGGTATCAGACTTAAGGCAGGGAAAGTAGAGGTGGCTGGGCATAGTACAAAATATTTATTTCTCATGGCCAAAAAAAAATAAGATTGTCTGTCTCACTGACCACTAAACTACAACAGGGTATTTTACTTTAGAACCAGCATCAGTTACAATATTGGCGTCAGTTACAATTTTAATTTTTAAAATATATTCTTCTTTATAACATCATATCCCACTTCAAATAACTTGCACACGTCACCAATAAATTTGTTGAAAACATTATTTTTAAAGCAATAAAACTAGTGCATGTCAAGCTTGGATTCCGAACCTCTTCCTTCTTTAGTGTGATCCTGTTGGCCAAGAATATTTAACAAGACTCCAATCTTTCCCTCTCTGCTCATACCAAGCCAAGTTCCACCACTTCTGCCTGACATCTGATCTAAGCCTTAGCAGAAAAAAAAAAAAAAGATTTTATTACACCAAAATGCAGAAAATAATCATAGAGAATGGAGATGGCATAGCCTAGCGGTAAAGCGCTAGACTGTTAACCCGTAAGTCTTGGGTTCTAATCAGTAGAACATCCCTCAGTCCATCCAGCTCTGATGAGTCCCTAACTCACGTTAGGGTAACAAAGGCGGCTGGGCATAGAGCTGACCACATTATCCCCATGTATGCCAAGGCCATTTAAACAGATGAACTATACTTCATCTGTCCCATGAGTCTGGGCACTAATGGGAGAAGGTGATAATGAATCGTCGATAATGATTAAAATAAAATGAGTTAAACAATTTTTTAAATTACCACTTATACAGCTACTGTCATGATCCCAGAAGCTTGTTGCTTTAGTAGGCCGATCCCACGTTTCATCTCTGTTATTGACAAGAACAAGCTTGTAGCCATCAATGCTGCAAATCTCACTTAGGTAGAAAAACAGGATACACATTTTCTTGAGATTTTTTTGCTGATGATGATTCGATGTACAGTAAACTGTGTGGTTATTATATAATTAGTTCTTTGGGGTTAAATGATTCAGGAATCCTTTCAAACATTTTGAAACGTAATGTCACCTATGTCTGTAGTGTAGGCCTATATAAAATAAAAATCAGATTTTATCATTAGTTAGACTCCAGATCTAGATATGTATTCAGTGTATTGTATAGTTAAGTATAGCAAATCTATAGTATAGTATAGATAGTCTAATGTAGTGAATTTGTTAGAAATCAGTCAATTGTGCTTAGTAGGGCAAGAAGAAAAATTCATATCTTAATAAATAGTTGTTATTATAGTATGAAAATTGGATGAACTATTAGGCCAAGCTTGATCTTTAATTAGAATATCTTAGTGTTAGTTAGGAGCAAGCCGAAATCTACTTTAATTAGGTGTATTTGATGATATTTTTACAATATTTGCATGTTTGAAGTATTATTGTTGAAGAACAACTTATTGATGTTTATTGTAATTTGTATCATTGTAAAGGGAATTGTCTGTGGTTTCAGAGGATAAGCTTATTAGAATTTTAGGAGATCGCGTTAAGTTTTTATATAGGGTTAATTGGGGTCGGTTAGCACAAAAGCGGGGGAAATTTTCACAGGTAAGCGTTAGAATTCGTGCCAAGAGCAAGGTGTCATCCGAGACGCTCGCAGGTGGGGTATATAAACCGGTGGGTTAGCCTTAGAGGGGATGGAGAAACGACGGCCCTAGCCAGTAATTTATGCAGCACACGTATTGGCGCTATAGTCTTGTTAGATGCGCGCTACACAGACAATTCCCGCTCAAGAAAGATAGTCAAATAAAGATTTGCAGAAGACGGGTTATTCTTCATTCTTGATCGTCTGTGACTGTGACTGAGAAATAGAAGAGAAGAAGAACGAACGTTACAATTGATAGAAGCAAGAATATTACAATAGAACAGCATATTTTGAGAGCAGTAAAAACGTTACACTATCTATAGGCCCCTAATTAATTACTAATTTTTATATAAATCTATAGGCTATTATAGGCCTATCAATATCATCATTTAGCCTATTATTAGCCTATATATTAAAATTATATTTTATTATTATATTATACTATATTTATTATTACTATACTATACGATACACATAAATTACCCTAATCACTTATCAATAATCAATAGTAATCACTAATAATATATAATATTATTTTTTAGCGCAATTTCCATTCTGGAGAATTGCGTTTATTAACCCGTCATTTCTGGATGTATGAATGTATGAATGAATGGATGGATGGATGGATGTGTGTCCGCAGCTTTAAGTCGTATCTCCTCCTCAACGACTAGTTCCAAAGCAATTTTGTTAAGCAAGTTACGAGGATGAACATAGGCCATAAAAATTCCGGGTTTCTTTCATGGATTTCCCGGAAAAGCCAAAAAACCTCGAAAAAAATGCAGTTTTTGGCCCATATCTCGGCAACCAGACCACTTAGCGACTTGAAACATTTACCAATCGATTCCTGCCATAATTTAGAACAATATTGCCGAAGAAAGTTTTCAAAAATATCCTTTCGTTCTGTCACAAAAAAATTTTTGAATTAATTAAAATTTGGACCGAATTAGTAGGCATTTTTTCCAACCACACCACACGCATCATCACGTTCAATAGCTGCATCATCACATTCAGTAGCTAGGCGCGCAATGGTTTTTAGTCATGTAACTCTATTGTAAATAAAACATGTAAAATACTGAAAAAAAAAAAAAAAATACGTTTTAATAACTAACCAATGGTTTTACTAACCCTGCTCTTGATTTACGCTATGACAGAGCTATTTTTAGATAACATAAGGAAATTGCGCTAAAATTGTCACTAGACTTTTTAATGGACACCAGCGAGAAAAGTCTCAAAGGTATTTGAGAGGTGTATAAATTCATTTAAAAATCATGCACAGCGTAGTTACAATTAATATGGTTATAAAATCCTGTCTATCTGGTTTTTTTCGGACTTTACTAAAGATTGGATGTATTTGATGTTTATAATATTTTCGGTAACTAAATAAAAATTAAAAAAAAAGCAAAAACAATTTGGTTTTCACGTGTAATGGCGACATAAACAATGGCATCCTGCTATTGGATAGGCCGCCATTGATTTTATTGTACACATTGTAAGCTAAAAATAGAAAACTAGGTCATGGGGTTTTAAATTTGCATTGTAATTTAAAAACTTGATCTGCAAAGTTTTGTAAACAAATAGTTATCGATCACTAAGTTACTGTACAGCCAATCAATATTTGTCTTACGAAAGTGAAACATCCGGTTATAACTTAGGCTTGATGAAAATAAATAGAAATGTGGCCTTAAACTCAACAAATTATTTTCAAGTTCTCTGGATTTGCAACTTTTATAACATTTATTCTAAAAATATAAAATTTCTAAATTAATTTTAGGCTTAAGTTTTTATTTTTTATTTTTTTTTACGGTCTAAATCTAAAAAGCACGTTTTTATTCCATGTCAACAACATTGGGGACGGAATCTCGTCAACTCGCTCGCCTCCATTAACTTGTTTATTAATGAATGTATTAGCCTAATATTACTAATTAATAATTTGATTGCATTTTAGAATTAGAATTTAGATTAAGAATGAAACAACCATCATCCATGAATAATAATGATTATTCCATGATTAAATATTAAATAAAAAAAATGTTAATGTAATTATTAATTAAATGTAATAATACTATTATAATAGTTATTAATAGCCATAGATCTAGGCCTACATAATATATTAATAATAGGCCTATATTTTAATATATATATATATATATATATATATATATATAGATATCTAGATCTATATGACAATGTACTAAAAACTATTCTTTATTTTGTAAAATGCAATTCAATAAAATTTAATCAATAGACAACATTAACATTAACATGTTTAAAGTTTAAACTTTAAATTATTACTTTAACTAACGTAAAAGCCAAATCACAAAAAAACTTGATAAGCGGACTTTCATCAGCTGTTGGCTGTACGCACACTAACAAACAAGATAAATCTAGATTTTCTAGACCTAGAATCTAGATCTAGATCCGTCTGATCTAGATCTAGACCTAACTTCATAACTAATAACAAATAACAACATACATGGTCATACATTACAAGAGTACAGAACTGTACAATGTGTACATTGGTTATCCCTTGCCCAGGCCAGATATTGAGTGAAGGTTGAAACAATTTACACAATTTACAAAAAAATAAATATAAAATTATTTTTATAAAATTAAATTTAATTTAAAACCAGGTTTAATTAGTCAGTTAGTATAGATCTAAATGGGCTATAATTTATTATATTATTATTTATATTATTATATTATTATTATTTATTATTATTCCAGTCCAACAAAAACCAAATACCAGTAGATTTTCTTCCGGTAAACAATGAAACCAAAATGTAAAAACAGTATTTATAAACAAACCCACTGCCCAAAGAATCAAAAGAAAATTCAAACCACACACAAGTAAGTCTATATTTTATTTCAAAAAATAATAATTCAAAAGACCAATGTCATAAATATTTATAAAGTTAATTTTGCAATAGACTCAGTTCAGATTGTTTAAAAAAAGAAATAAATTGCAGTTGTTTGACAACTTCTTCACACAAAAATTAGTGACTAAACAAGTCACAGCAAGCGCTGTACTGTAAGTTAGTAATAAGTAAAGTGTAACTTTAAACTTCATAGTTGTCTAGATTATTGCCAATTGCTAGTTACAATACACAATGATGATACAATTTAATAAATCTAGACCCAAGTTGTCAACATTGAACAACACTAAAAAAAGTCAAATGACTCAAAAGTCAAAAGTGAGTCAAAAGACTCAAAACATCAATTCAAAACACTAGCCACTAGATCTACTAGTAACTAGCTAGGCCCTATTGAAAATATAAACTCATTAGGCCTATTAAAATTTAATAATATTAAATTAAGCCACCCTCCCACACTCTATAATACTACTACTAAATCTACAATCTACACGCAGTCATTATCAGAACCGAACACATATAGTTCTGATAATTCAGGGTTTAGTTTTGGTCAAACTTTAATTTTTAAAATTCTAGAAGTCTAGTAGAAGTAGTTAGAAGAAGTCAAGGCACATCCTTACTTCACTAGTAGGCATACCACTTGAATCTAGATCTCAAGTATATAATTAACCTGTCTCACTAAATTTTAATAGTCTAATTAATTAAGCCTAATTTATTTCCTAATATTTAAAAAAAGACGGTAAAACCTGGAATAAATAAAAAAAAAATACCCAGCACCTACGTAAGAACTATTGCCAAAGCAGATATACACCAATAATTTTGCTTAAGGTTCCTTATGGGCTTACTACTATGTAAAATTTATTTTTGAAACTTAAGTATTTTAAATGAATAAATGTTAGGCCTATCATTTTTTTTTTACTATTACAGTTATAATGGATTCTCCTGATGTTGATGATAATGGTCATAGACAAGGGGAATCAGATGGGGATCCACAACAGTATCTTGTTACTGGGCAACTTCTCAATGATGAGAGGACAAACAGTGCCACGCCCACGGTTGATGAGGATAATGTAGACACAGACAATATGAAAGATGAATTTGAAAATAATGATATCATTGCTTCAAATCATGAAGATCGTGAAGAAGATTCTAATCTAGGAACTAATTATTCTGTTAGAGACATTACAGCCGGCGGTGATGACATAGTGGAGAACAGCTGTTTAAATGTAAACAACGAGGAACAATTAATCTTTGTTGGTCATCTGTCTCACCCTGAAGGGGAGACAGAGAAACAAGATTCAGATGATGAGCTGTCCTCTAGGCATTCACAGGCTGATGCTGGGGGTGATCTTGAGAATGTTTCTATTGGAACTGAGGACAGTGAAGAGCACAGAATTGAGACTCATCTTCAAGGTAAGAAACTTTTGTTCAAAGAAAAGATATATTTTTTTTTATGCAGTGTGTGGAAAATACTTATTTATACTGTATTATAAATTATATTCATATTACAAATTTTAAAACTCTTAAAAAACACTTTGCAATGTTATGTACATTTTAAGACTAATATGAATTAAAATAATGCCATGTGTTAGTTTTTGCACTAAAAAGAGCATCTACCTGTATTTTATTTCTGCATGGATAATTTTCAAAATAACACCAATTGTTCTAACATTAATTTTGACAAGTGCATGATTACTAATTTTAATCAAAGTAAAACACAAACTAGTTCATTCTTGCTTGGTAATGAAATGCATTAAAGATTACGAGCTGACCCGCAATGTAGCATACACCGCTATTTAGTTTAATTCCTATTTTTCAGTAATTCACAATTTGTGAATTCGGCACCACCAATGCTGTGACTGAAAATATTTTGCTCCCTCACTTCCTCACTTTCCACTTTCAGAATAGTTTTTTTCAGTAGAAACTAAAAAAAACCCTGTGAAATTGAAGTAAAATCCAAGTTTTTTTACCTTTAACTTTATTCTCAACTTAAGGCCATCTAATTGACCCAACCCCTATTGTATAGCTAGTTCAAGTGATTTTATTCTTAGAAATTTCATAACAATTTTGTTTCAAGTGAACAATGAAAATGAGACTGAACTCCAGAAAGGAACTGGTGATGAAAATGAAAACAATGAAAACACACACACCATCTGGACTAAAACAACATCTTCAACCCCAGAGGCCTGCGTGGAGGATCAGGGAGTCACCTCTGATCAGGAGCTAGAGGATTTCTTTAACACCAAGCCTGTCAGCATAGACGAGGGCAATCAAGACTCCCATTTCCCAGCCCTGGATAATGTTGACTTTGAGACGGATGAGGAGGGTCAAGAGGTCAATAAGGAAGTCAGGAGAGTCAGTGTTGAAAGTGAGGCCAGAGGTGAAGAGTCTGATAACAGTAAAGCTGATAATGGGTTGGAAAATAGTGGTGAGTTAATTTTTAGTGACCATCTTCCATAGGCGCCATAATAATTTAAGCAGCATTCATATTGTCAATGGGGACGGAGTGGTCTAGCGGTAGAGAGCTGGACTGCTAACCCGTAAGTCTCGAGTTTGAACCCGGGTTCAAGTCAGTAGACCGTCCCTGAGTCCACCCAACTCTGATGGGTACCTAACTCACGTTAGGGAAAGTAAAGGCTGCTGGGCATAGTGCTGACCACACTATCTCTTCATATGCCGAGGTCACAGAAACAAGTGAACTCTACTTCACTTGTCCCATAGACCGTCAGGTTTGAAAAGGGAACTTTACTTTTTTACTTTACATATTGTCAACATGGTCATTCTTTTAGCTTTTAAAAATATTTTTTCTTATTACTCAGAGGTGTTAATCTTCTCCCTCACTCTGTATTTCCTACCTCATTGCCTGTAGGTCTCAAGGCCTTTCAATGCTGTATGCCTTATAATTATAGAAAAATGTTAATACTATATGATAAGAAAGAGAATAGCAACTATACACTCTCAACTATAAAGCTACAAATATTATGTAGCTTATTCTGTTCAATACATTGTGTAAGTCAGTGGTTATTCTAACAAAGTTAACACACTACTAATGAAGATGAATTACAGACAGAATGTGCTCATGCTCAATTATTTTTGTTAACAACCAGCTTTTAACATTTGTCTTTAATTTTTTACTTACATTGGAAAAACTTAAAACTTAATTAGATTATGGTACTTAATTAGAATACATTATGTACATTAAGGAGTCACTGTCAGTAAATGTAATGCCATTAAAAAAAAAGTTTTTGTGGGTTAGTAATGTAAAATTAGTTCCAAATATTGTTCTGTTTATATAATATTTGTAGTAGTTTTGTATGGTATACTGGTGATGTATTTATGTATATCTTTTCCCTTTTGAAATTTGTTCATAAAATATTTAAAAACATTTTTCATTATATTTACCTACAACCAAATCAAATTCTATATTTTTTGTTTGTGATTGTTTTTTTACTATCAGAAATTTCCATCATGTTTAAATGGTTAATTACGTATGTTAATACAGAACTAATCATACAAAAGTAAAAGTTGTTTCAGTATAATGAGCCTCATTTAAAAATAAATAAAGAGTGTGTATAAAGTGTTGAGCCATGTTTACTAACTCTCAGGTCAGGGTGACCCAGAACACCAGGCTAATTTAAAACCAGCTGGTCATGATATAGGCAAAAATACGGCCGTTGATAACGATGGGGATAAGGGCATCTCAGCTAAAGCCCTGACCAGCCCTAGACTTAACAAAGATGACTATCCACTTAACTATCAGAATTATCAAATTTGCAGAGAGGTGGGTCGCTTGTGTTTTTTCTTTAGCCAGAAAAAACACACATCTGTAATTATGTTTCATCTATTAAAATTCCATTTGTTTATTCCTGTAATCTGTTTAAAATATATGTATGTTTTAAGCCCTGTATATCTTTAAACGAGCCAGTTAATTATTATAACATTAGCAAGTTAAGAAAAGACTTGTATATTATATAATGTTTTGTGTTTCTCATTGGCCTTGTTGATAGCTGACCCCTGGAGTACAAGAGTGTCTAATTTTAGAAACAGGAGAGCAGGTTGTCTATGTCACAGATCCACACACCTCTGTTGACAAAACAGTAGAGCCTTTGCTTTCTAGAGAGCTTCCAATTGAGGAGTTATCATCCGACAAGCCCTCATCCCAGGTGTTACCATCTGAGTTACCATCCGAGGTGCTAACTTCAAAATATGAATCACCAACTACTAAAAGCGATGGTTTCATCATTGATGATAATTCACCTGAAAATTCACCCACGCATAAATCATCACCCAGCGCAGATGAATTTGTACGTACTTCGTATGACTACGAAAGCGGACATTTTGAGCCCGGCCCAGACAACAACGCAGAAAGTAACTTGCGTGCTTTCATCTCAGATCACGGCATTCCCATAATCATGGACAGCATGGGGAGCAGTGACGACGAGAATGATGGGAATGAAATGTTAACAGACCAGAACAGTCACACGTTACAGAAATCCCCCTCAGGAGATGGGATGGTAGGTGACGGAAATGAAATGCTAACAGACCAGAGGCCCCCTTCAGGGGTTGAGATGAGGGGTGATGTTGGGGCTCTAAGTGAGAATATAGTGGAGGATGTGTTGTGTAATGATGAGGAAAAGAACAGTAAGTATGTTTCTTTATGGCCACTGTTTTCTATGTAGCTTTAGTAGTGTGGGCCTGATAAATTCATTAGCATTGAACTCTTTTAATGATTTAAAAGTAGCTTGTGCTTAATAGATTCATTGGCATTGAAATCTTTTAATGATTTAAAAGTAATGTGTGCCTAATAGATTCATTGGCATTGAAATCTTTTAATGATTTAATCAAAAGCTGTGTGTGAGCCAAATCGATTCATTAGCATTGAAATTTTTTAATGATTTAACTAAAATTTCGTATTTTATTTATTAGGCCCATCACTATTTGTGATAATTTTTAAATAAATTTTTTAAAAAGATTTTAAATACAAATTTATTTTTTGAGGCCAATAATTAAAAAAAATACTGATAAAATTAGCTCTTAAAGCTCTTTAGGTTAAGCTCCCACCCCCATCTTCTTGACCAGCTCTGATTAAATGACATTTAATGTTTGTACAGAAATGTATAACCACATTTATTGTTCATTGTACTTGAGCAAAATTTTATTTTCCTTATTTAGAAGTGTTTATTTTGTATTCTGTATTCATTATTTACCTATATATATTTACTTTATCTCACTTGTAAATATAGCTATAAAATATTCACTGTGTTTTTGTATTAGTATAAATATTGTACTTTAGCAACATTTAATTTTCCTTCTTTAGAAGTGTTTATTCTGTATTCATTATTTACCTATATATACTCACTTTATCTCCCTTGTAAAGATAGCTATAAAATATCCATTGCATTTTTGTATTAGTTTAAATACTGTAGAGTTACTGCAATAACATAAACACCAAGCTTAAGAACCTATGACCAATGTTTTTGTTTACTTTTGATTTGAATTCGGTTCTCAAATAAGCACTTTTTATAAAAAGAAATAAATTTTACTAACATGGTTCATATAACATAAGCTTAAAAGTTTGTTCATTGCATAATATAAACATGTTAATGAAGCTCTGATTTTATTACAAACTGAATTATCTACCCTGTTTTTTTTAAATTAACTTTATCTCCCTTATTATACCAGAGCTTTTGTGTGCAATAACTCCCTAAGTGTATAATCCCCAGTACCTTTTCTTATATGTTAACACCAATATGCGTATATATATAAATTGCTATGATAATCGCGACTTTAATAAATTTCAAGGAAAGTTACTAAAGCTATTTTAAATTTTACCAATTTATTATTTTTTTTTAAACAGCTTACTTGTATTTTTAGATATTTAGATTTAAATTTTTTAGATTTAGATTTATTTTTTAGATTTTTAAACATAATTTCTTAGACTTCGTGTGAAGTTCATGTTGTGTTTTGTTTCAGTAATTAATGTAAGCTTTTTATAGTTATCACCTTAGCTTCCCTTGTAATTGACCATTCATCACCCTAGAATATAATATTCTACTAAATGATTAATGTTTTATTGATTGATAGAACATTGTTATTCTGGGGTGACCTATTGTATTTATTGTAAACACAATTTTACAGCATGTTCATATTGCTTCACAAGTTTATTGATTTATTCTTTGTAGCACTTTTTATATCTTTAAATATTGGGGTCTACAACCATTATCTGAAATATTGAACTAAAAAGGTGTTTTCTAAAAGCCAGTTTCCTAAGCTGCCGTTTGCATTAATTTAATGTTTTCTATTCATCAGAGCTTAAAAATAATTGTAAAAGTTAATTAGGTTAATTAACTATTAATTAATTCAAGATAGTTAATTCAAGACTTAAGTATAAAGAATGTACTCTCAGAATTCTTATTTTAGGCAATAGGCTTTTCATAAAACATCACTCAGGCTCCCAGGACCCCCCCCCCCCCCCCCCCCCCCGTATGTTTATGTCCCTCAATAATTTTAAAATTTTTTTTTTTTTTCAGGTGATGGAACAAGTGTTGGCTCATCCAAGACCAAGAAACAAAGGTAAATTTATAATCTTGTTAACAATGTATTTGCAGTCGGCAATAATGACACACTTGTAGGGTGGTTTTCAGGTGAGGATTAGGGTTAAGCGTATAGGACTACTGACTCAACTCGGCCCTACTCGATTCATGTCACAGTAAAAAAATGTGGATAGGCACTACACTAGCCATGGGACGTTGTAGTCAGATGGTAGAGCATACAACTTCCTACTCAAAGTCCTTGAGTTCAAATCCCTGGTTAGTGTCATTAGAACGTCCCTAATCCACACAGCTCTGATGTGTACCTGACTCACATTGAGGAAAGTAAAGGCGGCTGGACATAGTGCTGACCACTCTATCTCTTCATATGCCGAGGTCCTTGAAACCAGTGGACTGTACTTCACCTGTCCCATATATACATTACTGTCTGATTTTCCTGCTTTGTTAAACATATGGTATCAACAAGTGTCTTCAAGGGTTTCAAACAAATAAAAAATTATAATCTAAAAAAGTAATTATCATAATCGCTTTTTGTTTCTGTTTACACTGCATTTTTTTTTCTTTTAACAGTAGATAGTTTGAGCATGTTTAGTGTACAACATCTGAAAATTTTTATTTCCTTGCCAGGTTTTATGAACTACAACCTGACCTTAGTGTTGAGAGCCTGGAAGAACCTGACAACACCAACAACAACAAGGGCTCAGGGGATGAACAAGGGGAGGCTAACAGCAACAACAATGCCAATGAAAGACTGGCTGAGAATTACCCCCCTTTTGTTGCTAAAGAAAACCCACCAGTGAGAGATGTTAGTTTTAAACCAAGTCAATTCGCAACCAGCAGGTAAACATGCAGGATTGTTTGTTATTGGTTTTACCTTATTAAATTATCTTATATTTGTATAATCTATATATAAAATACTGCTTTTTCTTTGGATCGCATTTATACATGTTTCAGCCTAGACACAAGTTTATTCTATTCAAGTTTTCAGTTTAAAAAAAATATACTCTATTCACACCCCTCCCGTCCTCAATTTCCCCCCCCCCCCCCCCAGCTCTTAAACAATCTATTCACCTGCATCTCAGACTGGATATATAAAAACCTTATGAGGGGGATAGTGTGGTCAGCCACCTTTATTACCCTAATGTATTCAGGTACCCATCAGAGCAGGGTGGACTCAGGAATGTCCTACAGACTGGAGACTTTCAACTTGGCAGTTATAATCTCTACCATTTAATCATGCTGAGTGTATAGATTTATATATTATTCATGTTAAATATTTCTCCCCAACAATCCTCCCAGGCCATACTCCATCAGAGCAGGTTGGACTCGGGGACACGAACTTGAGACTTTCAACTTGACAGTCATAAGCTCTACCACTCAGCCATGCTGAATTTATAGATTAATATTTTAACTTATATTTCATTATGTTAAATCTTTCTCCACTCTGGCCATGCTCCATCGGAGCAGGGTTAACTCAGGTACCCAAACTTGAGACTTTCAATTTCTAAGTCATAACCTCCACCAGGGAAGTGGGGATGGTTATATTCTGGAAATCTCAATGGGATGTGGGTCAAGGGAGGAAATAGCATATTTATCATTCCGAATGAGCGAGTTTCGGACTCGCCAACTAAAAAATCCCGTTTCACCCCTCTCCACATCTCCTCCCTTATGGACTTATCAGGGGTGGGAGGGGGGGAGGGTGCGTGGGGGAAATCGTCATGGGAAGAGGGGTGCAGAGCGGGAACGTTTTAGCCTTTCGCTTGCGTCTATTATGTACTGATAACCCCCCTCCCAGAGAAAAAAGTCTAGAAGAAACACTGATCTAGACAGAAAAATAAAACAAAAACAGATAATTATGAAACAATGCTTATCTACCACTCAGCCAAGCTGAATTTATAGTTATATTTTTGTTAGTGTTAAATCTTTCTCCTGAATGATCCCCTCAGGCCGTACTCCAGTGAGAGCACACTAGCCAGCAGCAGCTACAGACATTCAAGTGTAGTTCCAGACTCCACCAGCTCCAGGAGCTACAGTCAACATTCTTACAGAGATGAGTCTGTTTCCACTAGCAGGGGTCAGAGGTCGCATGATAACAGCAGCTATTACAGGTTATTGTCATGTCTTATTGGGGTGGTTGAAGTGGTTATAGTGTTACCTCCACACAAGGTGTGTTTGTTGTAATGTGGGGTTAAATTCTTGTTAAGTTAGTTACTCTGCTCATTGACTGTTTATGGATCACCAGTGACTTAATAGGATAGGTAGTCATTGCCTTGGTCACAATGTATTTAATGGCTATAGAATCAGCTGGACTTGGGCTCACCATTTTTTATCATTAATAGTTTTTACTTCATTCAGGAAAAAAAATAAGAGGATAATCCTAAAATTGTTTTAAAAAAAGGTGGTGGATTAGATTGAATACAATCCCCCCATAGTGGCAACATAAACTCTACTTCACCTACCTAAGTGACTGTCACCACTAAATCTGTCCTGTACTTGTATAACTTTTGAAGAAAAAAATGGCCTGGCCCTTGTAATGTGCTTTTATTTTGTCGTCTCCTCCGCAGGTCTATGGGTGGCAGCTCCGAGGATATGTCCAGACTGTCCACACGGTACACCCGTATAGAGCAAGGAGACCCTAGGATAGATGCATCCAAGTCTGAGTCTGTCACTATCCCCAAGTTCAAAACACTGCATGACCAACAGGTGTGTATTCTCCTTTTTTTCCCCTCTCAAACATAGTTCTTACAAGCTTTTTTATGCTTCCACAAGTTTTTCACATCAATATATAGTTACACTAAACCAGCATTTTTGCTAAATTTGGGTTGTTCACTTTTATATATTTTTAAACATTTCAAAACTTGTGTAATACATTCTATTTAGTGTCACTTTATTATCCCTATTACTGTATTCTATGAGTTGCTGTGTGCAAAGTTGAATGGCAGTTCTACTGATGGGTGCTTTCCCCTTGGTAGTTTTACCCTTAATGTAATATGTGTAAGAATTGACCTGGGTTGGTCTCTGTAAATACTGTGTGGGAAGCCACCACCTTCATTCAGTTACACCAAGCAGTCCTCAGCCTTGTCTTACATGCTGAAGTGGTTTTGGAATGGTTTTTATTATTTGAAGTATTTTTTTTTTTAAAATGGCACTAAAAAAGCTTGCATGTTATATTGAAGCTGTTTTTGCTAGTGGTCCTAACCGTTATGCTAAACTAAATCCTGACCTTAACTTCAACTTCAACAATAACTGTGATACTCTCAGAAAAAAACAGATCATATACATTTTCTTACCAGTATTTTTTATGAGAACTTAAAATGTTCTAGAATTATCCAACCATATGGTTCTCATAAATAGTTCATCTTACATAGTTCAGCATACATGGTTCATCATACATAGTTAAATCATACATAGTTCATCATACATAGGTGAACTATGGAAATCAAACATTGTCGTAATCCAACATCGTCTTGTCATATGACAACCTGTACTAATCCACCATTTTAACCTGGTGTGCTGAGCACAGGTCAGCTGGCTGGACATGTTCAAGATGATAGAGGAGCAGCACAAGTGTGAGCTACAGTCCCAGTACCAGGAGCACCAGAAGATTCTACAAGAGATGCAGAGGAACATGGAGAAGGAGCTGACCAAGCAGCAAGCTACACTCAAGAAGAGGCTGAACACCCATAGAGAGGTGACAGTACATGTCTTGTAGTCTGCCCCACTGTACAGATTTGGGTGTTTAACTAATGTCCCAGTGGTTGGTCTATGTACCGAGCTGATGGTGTTAACAATTAAATACCAAGTTATACTACAGGTTAACAAATACTGGGCAGCCTTCGTATGTGTTTGGGCATAAATCATTTTTTTTGGTGCTAAATAAGCTTCAGAATGAAGTTATGGTTTCCTGGTGAAAAAAATAAACAGGGAATAGCTACACAGTTCTGCTGCCGAGCACAGTATTTTTAATACATATCTTATAGCCCTTATCTTTAGAAACATCTATATGCAGGCTTTTAATGTTGCCAGTTCTCCAGCTATTTAAAAATAAAAGTATACTATGCTGGGTAAAATACAAGCTACTGATCTACCTACTTTCTTCAACATTAAGCTTATATAAAAACTATTATCTTTCTTAAAATTAATGGTTCTTTGCATTGTAAAATAACTATTATCTTTCGCTAAGTTGACTGCATTGTTTTCAGATTTTGGAAGAGCTGTCACCCAATCGGCGCAGCAGCAAAAAACGTCCAGACATTCAAAACATCAACCAGTCCCGCAGGTACGATGACGAGGACGACGCCCCAGCCCCTGAGAGCTACCACCAGGTTGATCGTCTGAGTGACAGCGCCAGCCACATCACTTTAATGGGTGTTCCCGTGTCACTGAGAAACCCACCGCCACTGAACAGATATGTACCAGAATATAATGAGAGAAGTCAGTTTAATTTCTTAAGTTTGTATTTCAAATTATATTATACTAGCAGAGAAGCTTGTCAGGAAAAGGCGCAAATTAAACACCAATGTTTAATATGAAAAATCATTTTATTATCTGTTTCCCTTTCTTCTTCTTCTTCTTCTTCTTCGTTCTTAATTTTTAGTGTTGGAAGGGATCGAGCCTTATGACTTTTTTGTTCGCTCTGTGTTTGGTATTTCTTTGGATGTTCCCGTTTACTAATCCAGTTAAGCCAGACTAACTTAGTTTCCCAGAATTCTTGAGTTATTCCATTTGGAATCTTCCTAAATCCTTTCAACCTTGATTAGTTCCTGGCTCAATTAAAAAAGTTATAGAATCTACATACTGGGCTTGGTACTTTTGACACAATCCCTTCAAACTTCAACGTCACAGAAATTATTTTAAATGCAGAATTCTTAAATGAAATATTTGTTTTAGTAATGTGCCTTGTATTTCTAAATTAAGAATCGTCTGATGAAATTCCCATAAAGACGCCACTAGAGTTATCCTCCCCTTCAAGACCAGCTGACACCTCACTCAACCTGTCTCGTCTGACCTTGGGCTCGGACAAGCAGCTTCGTGGGGGTGTCTACAGCAGTCCCATGCCACTGGCTAAAAGTAAACTTAAGGTAGGTCACTCTTCTATGTCACGGCTGCTCTTTTAAACTTGGGAGGTGTGCTGATTTTTTACTTTCTAAATTCAAAACCTAGTGCTTTTTAAAAATGTTATCTTTTATTTTAGTATATAAAAGTAAATATCAAACACCCTAATATTTACTTTGGTTGTCTAAAAAACTTGAGAAACTATCAGCTATTTTGTATTTTTTAATTGAAAAACACTCGAAACTTTTTAAAATTTTAAGTTTCAGGCGCTGTTTTAAAGATACCTATTACTTATTTTAAAAATGTCAAAAAATATTTCAAAATGCTGATTAGCTTTGTTCCTGCATAGTTTAAAATATCACCCTTCAAAATTTCATATAAAACTAGGGGTTGGGTAGAAAAAATTATTTTAAAATTTTGTTATGTAATTCTAAAATGCTGATAACAAAACTATTATTATTTTGTAATATTATTTTGTAATATAAACAATGTGAATATATATTGTAACTTAGTTCATAAATAAAAAGTTGTACTTATTTTATTCACTTTATTGTTAAAAATAAGTAAAACATCAAATGTTCAGAGTTTTAACTAAAGAATTTTCATTTGAATAAAAAAAAAGAATAATGTCAAATCCCATTTTACAGCATCCTCCGTAAACTTCAGTTTAAAAGTAAAGATATTGTCATTGCAAATGATGATACGGTTTGTGTAAAACAATTTAATTCATTTTCACCTCATATCTTTTAACCCACTTGTAGAACTCTCCAAGGGGCAGCAAGTCCTATGATGAGGCACAACGCAACTCCCCTAGAGGGGACAGCTGCGGCAACTCTGTCCACTGGGCTTATGACGGCCACCCTCGTGATGGGGCGCCAACCTCCAGGCCCACCTCAGGGGAACTCACTGAGTCTGATGATGTCTTGTCTCCAAGGTTGTACACATATAACATCTTATGTCTAATCTTGACTTCACTGTTATTTTGTTAGGCAACATTAAAAAAAAAACATAATCTTATTGATTTAGGTAGTTCAGGTACCCTTTTCGTTCATTTAAAATATATTGAAAAAAATCAGTAGTGAAAAAGCATAATCTGAACTTTCTAGAGTTGGCATGATCAAGAAATTTAAAAATAAATATGGAGTAAGGATTATTAGTTTGTAGTACTGTGGTAAAATCATTTCTGGGCTGTTGATTATTTTCATGGGACAACATTAATTTATCTCCATTGTTGTGTGGCAAATAGTTTTAATTAAAAGTTCCTTCATGTTTATAAAGGCTAAAACTATTTTAGTGAGAGGTTATTCCTGTTCTACTGTACCACTGAATAATAGAAAAATTTATTTTACACAGTACTAACTGTAAAACTAAATAATAGAAAAATTTATTTTACACAGTAACCAGATTTACATTAATTTTGTTTACTACACTTTTATAATTTAATTTAATTATTTTTCCTGCAGAACTAGAATCAGCCTGCGTGAAAAACATGCCAAGCATCTGGCTGACCTCAGAGCTTATTACGAGGAGGAGCTACGAGAAATGAGGCAGCTTCTCTCCCTTAGACAGGAGAGGAACGCTCGGGACATTGGTACATCTGGCATGACTGCTGAGGAAAAAATCCTGGCCAATGAAAATCAGGAGCTCAAACAAAAATGTCAAGAATTTCAAGACATTTTCCATGATGCAAAAATGTAGGATTTTTATTGATCATCAAATAATCGTCAATTTAGCTGTACCTGGCCTAATATTTTGTTACATTAAAACCCTTGAGCTTAATATAATAATAATAATAAATAGACAGTAAATGAATGGCAGCTTTTAATGAAAACAACAAATTACATCATGTTATTGTATAATATAAATTTAGTTTTCTACTTATCATTGAGCTGTTTGCTTCAAGCTTAAATTTATTGGATAAAATTTTCTAGCCTTTCAACCATGAAGTTATTAATAATAATTTAGGCTACTTGTACTTAAAACTGGGTAACTTCCTGTGACATTGTAGTATTGAATTTTTTTTATTTGTAAGAACAACTCACTGCTATGTTGTATTTATCTTTCACATACAGTGAGATCAGGGAACTACAACAAAAGATCCAGGGACTTGAGATACGAGCTGTAAGTTTGTTTTTATATTTATATGATAACATTTACATACATTTTCTCTATACAGAAAGTATAAATTTGCAATGAAACATCAGGAAAGACTCAATTGAATTTCCCTCAATGCTATGATTCTCCCTGTTAATTCCCATTAACTTAGTAAAGTAAAGTTCCCTTTTCAACCTGACGATCTATGGGGCAAGTGAAGTAGAGTCCACTTGTTTCTGTGACCTCGGCATGTGAAGAGATACTGTGGTCAGCACTATACCCAGCCGCCTTTACTTTACCTAACATGAGTTGGGTACCCATCAGAGTTGGGTGGACTCAGGGACGGTCTACTGACTTGAACCCAGATTTGAACTCGAGACTTGCGGGTTAGCAGTCCAGCTCTCTACCGCTAGACCACTCCGTCCCATCACCAGTTTAATTATAGTTTAATTAAAATCTGTATAAAAAATTTCTCCCATTAAATCTCCCACCAGTCTGACTATAGTTTAATTAAAACCTATTCCCCCATTGAATCTCCCACCAGTCTGACTATAGTTTAATTAAAACCTATTCCCCCATTGAATCTCCCACCAGTCTGACTATAGTTTAATCAAAACATATTCTCCCATTGAATCTCTCACCAGTCTGACTATAGTTTAATTAAAACATATTCTCCCATTGAATCTCTCACTAGTCTGACTATAGTTTAATTAAAACCTATTCTACCATTGAATCTCTCACTAGTCTGACTATAGTTTAATTAAAACATATTCTCCCATTGAATCTCTCTCCAGTCTGACTATAGTTTAATTAAAACATATTCTCCCATTGAATCTCTCACCAGTCTGACTATGCGGAGAGGTTTGACACATCCCAGGCGCAGGTTCTAAGCCTGAAGACCAGGCTGGAGGAAGTCACAGAGTTTGCTAAAGAGAAGGAAGCCATCGCTGGCGAGCTGGAGCTCAAACACAAGAAAACTGTTGAAGCTCTACAAATGGCTTACAAGGTAGGTACATACAGTTGACAAGTACTTCAACAAATATTAATGGCATAAGGCCTCAATGGAATCAATTTTATATTGCTTTACAACTAGCTGAAATGTTAATTTAAAGGTTATGACACACATCACAATTTAAAGTACCTTACAAATTAAACCAACTGTAGATATGTACTTGTCAAATTAATGCATTAAACAGTGATTATTCTTGGATCACATTAAGAATATGAGGAATTAGATGCAAAAGTAGTGCTACATTTACATACTATAGAAATGGATCAAAATTGATTTACATGATTTGACCATGAACTCACCCACCCACCTCCATCTTATACAATTGATCTAACCATGAATGTTAACTGCAGCTTTAGCTCCATCTTTAAGAATTCATCAGAAACTTTGTAAAATTCTTGGATCTTAATATCCTTCAAAGATGGACAAAATGTGACATCTTCAACAGCACTCTAAGAATGGGCCCAAATCTGATCTGAACTATCCTTTAATAGCCTATCAACTAAAACACTTTTTTCCTTTTCATGCCCTCATTATTTAACTCTCTCACTTTCTTGCATACTGCCAATTTTGTAAAATCTAACTTGTAAAAGGAACAAACTATTATTTTAAAGTTAATAATACCTAAATTATGTAAAATTATTACAATGTATTACAGAATCATTCAACTAGTGATTTTTTTTCCAGAAAGAGAAAGAGCTAACAGACTCAAATCACAGTGCCAAGACAGCCATTCAAAGAGTTAGTATCATTGTTTTTGCGTAGAATTTATTCTGATGAGATTTGTATATATTTTTGCTATAATTTTGTATTTACTAAAAAATTTTTTTACTTACTAGTTTACAGTTACAGCTGTTAATTGTCATTTCAATTGTAGTTTAATTTAATTCATGAATTAATGTCTTTTAATTATCTTTTTTTCCAGTTAGTTGATAAATATGAAACCTTGGAGAAAGATTATAGCTTGGCTAAGGTAACTTGTAAATCCTCAGCTATTTTTGTGTCTTACGGCACATGTATCAGGCATCAAGTAGCTTCATTTCTCTGTCACTGTCTCAGTAAAGTGTTATAAACAATTACAGATATCAGTATAATAACGAGTTTTTAAACACACTAAATATAATTTAAAAAAAACAAAAATATTTGTGCACTGTAAACGTGTTGATTACTCTGGAGATATTTTCAATACATATTATTTTTAGTGTCTAATGCTTCTACTTTTATAGCTTTAGAAAGTTAATGTATATCTTATTATTTTCAGTGCATTTAAAAGTTTTGTTTTATTTCAACTTTTTAATTTGAGTAATTAGGCATTAGATATATAAAAAAAAAAAATAATAGTAAGTTGATATCTAAGATAAAAAAAAACAGTTAGTGAAGTTAGTGCTACATTTACACACTATAGAAACTGGCCAAAAATTGAGTTACAAGATTTAACCACAAACCCACCCACCCACCTCCAGACAGACTTAAGAAAAACCTTGTTAGATAATTCATTGATTGTATCTGTAGGAGTCATTGTCCTCTATGGAAGAGAAGCTCTTAAATTCAAGAACAGAGGTGATGGAAGCCAACAAGTAAGTAATTTTCCATAGAACACTTACTAAAAAAATCCAAGGCGAGCTCCTCTAAACTGTTGATTTCCTTTTCCAGGAAGAGAAATCAAATCAATGATCACTCATATTGTGATACCACCATAATGGTTGACGTTGATTCACTTATTAAATATTAGATTTAATTACCAAACATACAATTACCATTTATTCTATTCATGTTGACCTTTGTTACAATGAAAATTTTTAAACTGCTGCCACATGTATGTTCTCAACTTAATTTTATTTAGCAAGTTTACCCGCCTGGAGCTAGAAAACAAACAGCTGAAACACGACAATGAAATATTAAAACATGAGCTCACTATGGCCAGGAGGTAATTTGTTGTGTATAAATGTTTTCTATGGTAGGCTACTGTTTGGTGGCTCTGGGGTAAATCACTGCTAGGTTTAGGGTGTGTGGCTTTGAAATAGTAATCAAAAAAGTATCAAGTGGTAAGAGCTGGTAATGACATGTGAGATTACTCACATTACCATAATTTAAAAATCAAAGATGTTTGGAAGCTTTATGATATCAGTAGCTTAGCTCCATGAGTAATAGTAAAATAACATGAACTACTGCATAATCACCCTCTTTTTTTTATACTGGGAATATTTATGTGGGGAAAAAACTTTTTTTTAAACAGTGATTCTCAGAATTTCTGTGGGACCGTTCTCTGGCATTGCACAAAAATTTAAAGAAATAATCTGAGCTTTATTTTTTTTTTTAAATTCCTTAACTTAAGGTATCTGGTTTGTAAACTAATCAGCTTTTGAATTAATTTATATGTCTTAAGTAAAAATAAGTTTTTTCAATTTCACAGTTCCTTAAATATGCGTACAAGCTACGAGGATTCCTATCACTCCCCTGGTGGTGTGGACAGAGGTCGACCTTCATACAGTTCCCCCAATGTGTCTAGGACCAGGTCAGCTGACAGGTCAGTCTATGTTCAGTTTTTGACTTGGTCGGTCAACATAGAAGTCAATCATTCTTTTATTACTAAATCTATAGTATTCATTTTCACTTTTGTACTAGATCATTAGGATTCATTGTCATGTGGTCGAATGGTATAGCGTTGGACTGCTAACCCAAAATTATCTAGTTCAGATCCCCGGCTCAAGAAGTCTCTGCTTAGTCCCTTAGTCCACCCAGTCTTTGATGGGTACATGACTCATGTTAGGGAAAATTATGTGCCAAAGTAACTGAAACAGCTGAACTCCACTTCATCTGCCCCATGGACTGTAAGGTTCAAAAGGGCACTTTTCTTACTTTCTGTAAAATTACTACTTGTACAGAAACTGAAAAAAATATTTCATTACTGTACTCATGAAACATCCAGTGATCTTATAAAACTGAAATGGTGTAGTTATTATTTTTTTGTCGCACTTGCAGATTATAAAATATTGTATTGTCATACTTTAAGATTTTCTAGCAAGTTAATGTTATACTTTAAGTTCCTTAAGTATTGTAATGTTGTTATAGGAGTTTATAATGTATTGTAATATCATATTGTAAGTATTTCAAGTAAATAAACATACTTTTAGTTTTCAAGTAATGTCATACTTTTAGTTTTTTAAGTATTGTAATGTTGTTATTGTAGTTCATAATGTTATGTCATACTTTTAGTATTTCAAATAAATGAACATCATGCTTTTATTTTTTCAAGTATTGTAATGTCATACTTAAAAATCAAGCACTGTAATACATCCTGCTTTTAGATCACATCACGCCAGAACAGAAACACCCACCACAGACAGAAGCAGAGCAACAAAAGACAACTCTACAGAGTCAGACACTGACAGTGACCTGGTCAAGTCTCCCATACTCAGGGCAGAGCGAGAGTTACGGAACCTGCAGAAGTCACTCTCAAGTCAAGGCTTCACTCCGAAGCTGCAGAAAAAATTCTATGGCAGTGAGATGTCCATGCGATCAGTTGGTCAGTGATTCACATGCATTGTCTTGTCTATATTTAATAGAATAAACCAATCCTGATTATATAAAGGTAGAAAAAAAAATACCCTTTACCATGGTCTGTTAACTTGGGATGGCATGGCCAAGCAGTAGAGAGCTAGATTGCTAACCCGAAAGTCTCGAGTTTGAATCCGGGTTCAAGTCAGTAGACTGTCACTGAGTCCACCCAGCTCTGATGGGTACCTAACTCACTTTAGGGGGAAAAGGCGGCTGGGTATAGTGCTGACCACATTATCTCTTTGTATGCCTAGGTCTCTGAAACAGGTGGACTCTACTTCATCTGCCCCATGTGTCCTGGGCATGAGCAGGAAAAAGAGAGAATGGTAGATGAAGTAGAGTTGTTGTTTCTGTTACCTTGACAGATGAAGGATAATGGAAAAAAAAATAAAGTTACCATTTTAAACCTGGCAGTCCATTAAGGCAGATAAAGTAGATTTCATCTGTTTCTGTAACCTCAGCATATAAATGAATTGTGTGGTCACCACAATGCCCAGCTGCTTTTACTTTTACCTAGGGTGAATCAGGTACCCATCAGAGCTGGGTGATCATTGTGCTCTCTATTTTTTGGCCACGCCCTGCCATGAAGGCATAATTCTAATTTAAAATTCAAACATTTTTCACTGATTGGCTCTATTAAAATATTCATTAAATGTAATTAACAAAATCACATTTTAAAATTAGTTTTTACTCTATTTTTGTGAGTTACCTAAGGTAGATTAATTTTTTTTGTTCATGAAAGAGCACGTGTGATGAATTATTATCTTTATTTTGAAAAGGTCAGTCATCCAACAATGCCATGAATGGTCACTCCCCTAATGAAAAGCAAGTCAGGCATGTAGAAAATGGGAGACAATCAAACACCAGATCCAGTGAATATTCCAGAGCTTCCATCAGGGGAGAGAACTCTAGACATGCAAAGGATGGGGGAGCTGATCAAGGCAGGGGAAAAGAGAGGGCAGTCAAAGATAGAGATCAGAAGGGGAAGACATACAGCTCTCCTACCAAAAGTTAGTCCAATAGGTTATTAATCTTGTAGTTAGAATATTAGTAAAATACATTTTCCTTTAGCTAAAACTTTTCTAATTTCATCACTGACAGCACAGTCATATAAACCCTTGTTTTTATGTTTCTCATAATCTTGTAAAAGCTGAACTAAATGTGTATTATTTCTGTTAAAAAAAAAAAAAAAAAAAAAAAAAAAGACTTTAAACTACATTTTTATTCAATTTGTTTATAATAACAAAAAGTAGTCACATTGTAAAAAAAGTAGTCACATTGTACAAAAGCCATATTGTACAAACCGTAAATTCACATTGTACAAAATGTTAAGTCACATGGTACAAAAAGTAAATTCACATTGTTCGAAAAGTAAAGTGCTATTGTACAAAAAGTAAAGTCACATTGTACAAAAAGTAAAATCACATTGTACAAAAAGTAAAATCACATTGTAGAAAAAGTAAAATCACAGAATCATTATCCTCTTAACAGATTTCATCTGACACTGTTTCACCAACCTCCTCCTCCCTACCACCAGGCCACTACATTGTTTACACCCAAACCTGTTAATCACTAAACTATAGATCCTCTATTGTGTACAGACATATTTTAAAAATTTTTTTTTCAATATTTCAATATGTTTTAAATATTTTTATACGACCGAATGTTAAAATAATTTCTCCAATGTTTTTGAAAGAGTCCCAAGGAGGAGAGAGCATGTCAGGTGAGCAGGCCCTAGAGAGGGTGAGGTCAGGTGACATCGTGTCTAGACCAGCCTGGGAGGACATGTACACATCCATGGCACAAGCAAGACCAGAGAACATCAGCGGCAAACTGGCGGCCCTCAATTCTGTAAGTTATTGGTGGCACTGAATTCTGTAAGTTGTTACTGGCGGCACTCAATTCAGTAAGTTGTCCAGTCTTTTTGTCACTGGCACATTGGCCGCACTGAATTCTGTAAGTTGTTACTGGCGGCACTCAATTCTGTAAGTTGTCACTGGCAAACTGGCGGCACTGAATTCTGTAAGTGGCCCACATTCCATGAGTATCCATAATATTCCATAGTTAACTTTTTTGTTTAATAGTAGACCATGGTCAAGTGGACCTTCTTCTTGTGCAGGTACAAATGATCTAGAGATCACACTCTTTTTCAGTGCTGTGTTTTTCCTTATTCTGTTTTAAATTCATCATATTTCACATACACAGATGTTTTCTTTATTAGTGTTCCACAAATACAAATGTTTTGTTCAACATTTCCAATTGCCTTTCTACTCCTCTGATTCTAATTTAAGTCACATTTATTTACATTGTAACCCCACTGCAGTTTTATTTTATTTACCACAGTCCTGCCCACACAAATGTGAATGAAAAAATAAGGTGTGGTGGTAAAAAAAAGAATTTTGTATACATTTATATTCCCACTTACTGATAATATTTATATCTTTCACAGACTAGGGACATGATGATCAGAGAAAGATTACAGAATATTGAAAATTTAGAGCGGAAATATGATGACCTAAGTCATGAGAAGAGAAAGGTAAAGGTTTTACCCCAAGGGATAAAATGTTAAAGTGTTTATTTCATGGTATGAAATGTGAGGTTTTATTTAGAAATTAGGGGACAGTGTGGCCTAGTGATAGAGAGCTAGGCTGCTACCCAAATGTCTCAAGGTTGAATCCAGGTTCAAGTTGGGGAAAAGTCCTAAGTCCACTGGATAAGATGATGGTGATTTAGAAATTAGTTGTAAGTGAATAAGGTCCTGAGTTCAATTCCTTTCATGGGTATCTGACACTGGGCTCTGGAATTAAAGGAAGTTGGGTAGGGCATATATTGCTGACAACACATACCCTTTGGTAATGTGTAACTGTCAAAGGAGAACTAAATTATAAAAATTTAATTTGATGTTAGTTTGAAGTTTTTTGCTCTTAGTTCAAGGTTAAAACTAAGATTATGGTCTAAAGTAACAGATAAGGTTAGGTCTGGGTTATTTTTTGTATTGTTATTTGCAATTCTATGGGATGGCGTGGCCTAGCAGTAGAGCGCTAGAATGTTAACTTGAAAGTCTGGGTTTGAATCCAGGTTCAAGTTAGTAGAACATCAGTAAGCCCACCCAGCTCTGATGGGTACCTAAGTCATGTTAGGGAAAATAAAGGCGGCTGGGCATAGTGTTTACCACATTATTCCTTCACATGCCGAAGTCACAGAAACAAGTGAACTCTTGTTTCACTTGTCCCATAGACCGTCAGGTTTGAAAAGGGATCTTTAATTTTATTTGCAGTTCTGATTATTACAACATAAACGACAGCATTCAGGAAAGTATTTTTGGTATTGTGAATAAAACTATGTAAAATATATTATATGACGCAAGTAAAAGAATAACCTGTAGCCCCATCTCTTGCAGTATGAGTCAGCCCTCAACAAGCTCCCAGCCCAGGGCCACCGAGCAGAGAAAGACAAGTTAGAAGCTGAGCTGGACAGGGTAGACAGGGAGCTCGGCTCAGTCCGGATGTCCTTGAAGCGCTACCACGTCCTCAAGTCCACAATATAACACAGGGTTATGTGTACGGTTTTTTATGATCTGATTTTTCGTGTGGTTTGTGTGAATCTTCCAAGTCATGTTTTTTAAACTATTGTTTTGGAACTCGTTTGGCACTGGAAAACAGGTTTTTGTTGGAGGTTTCTTTGTCTCACTTTGGTTTTAGTTTGAAGAATAAATAATGTATTTATTATTACTATGTTCTTAGTATATTTTAATTCATTTATACTTACTGCCATTGTCTTTTAAATGAAACCTACTAGCTGCCAATATTTAATATCTTTGTCTTTTGGCAAAAAATATTTATTTTAACTCTTTTGAATATTTTGTAATGAAGTCGGACGTTTTAATTAGTTTTTTGTGGAATGTACATATAACATTAAAATACAACTAAATTTCTTATGATTTTACTAGGGCATTGTGTAAGCATAACAATAATAACATCAAGACAGGATTCTCTAATGATTCAGAGTAATTGTATTCTCTTCCACCTCTATTAGATCTGATTTTGAAATTATTACTTTTTAAATTAACGTCAGGTTTTTTGTACGTTTAATGAATTTTTTAAATAATAATGTTTTAAATGTGATCACCTGGTGCATTAGTGAACTAGACTTTTGAAATATTTGCTGTACACATTGTTTGCGTTACGAGAAAAGTACATTACATGACATATTTGTTCACATATAATCTGCCTGCTGTACCAATGTCAAGTAGAATCATTGTTAGCATCAACTACACTTTGTTATTGTTACACACCCAACAGGTCATTTGATGCAGCTTAAACTACTTGCCACAGAAAAAAAAACATTCCAATGTTACAATGATTTTACAAAACTAAATGCTGAAATTGTTTTACCGCAAACTTTAGATTTTTCATGTTAAGTGTTACAGGCTAATAGACTGAATGCTAGTGCATGACATAACTCTTGTATTGTAACATAGATTTGATCTGTGTTACTTCTTGAACTTGTGTACTGAGGCCTTGTTTCTGCCATACATTTCCACGTATACCGAGAATATGTTGTCTGTCATTCTATTTGGATCTCATCCATCTATTCAACGATGTATTCTCCAACATTTTTATTTGGTTTGATAAAGCAAGTCTAATTGGTCAACTCTGTTATAAGCCTGCTGACTCTAGACCAAAATTAGACTTTAAATAATTACTGTATAAGAATGCATGTTTTTGTAAGTTAATTAGTACATTTCTAAGAAAAATCCTGATATTGATATCACCCTGAGGTGCCTGAAAACTATTACCAACTTTAAATTACTTTACTGAAAGAATTTCAAACTAGAATCTTTTAAAAATTTTTATCAGCCATCCATTATAGGCATTTTGTTATTTTAAAAGCTTGTAAATCTGTAATAATCAATGTAGGTGTAAATGTATTTTATAAAAACTTCACAGTAGATTTAATTTGTTTGGTCAAATGGTGGAGCTTTCTACTACTAACCTGAAAGTCTAAAGTTCGGATCTAGGTTTTGTGTCCATACCTGACTCATGTTAGGGAAAGAAAAGGCAGCTGGGCATAGTGCTGACCACACTATCCATTCATATGCCAAGGTCACAGAAACATGGCTCATAAGGTTCAAAAGGGTACCTTTACATTAGTTTTCATCCACAAAAATGTTTACAAAAATATTTTAGCCTGCAATGGATGTTTAAAGTCAGTTTCACAACAAACTCCCCAAAAACCATTCAACACAAAGAGCAAATGTTACTTTTGTGTAGATCTATGAAAGATACAAGTTTAACTACGTAGAATTTATTTTTGTACTTATAATTGTTAGAGGTTGTCTCAGATCTTGAGAGATTTTATTTTAAACTTTGTATTTTTTTAAAAACATTGGCCATGTAATATTTGACATGTAAAACATTGTATTCACAAATCACCTCATTGTTTTTTTTTTAAACAGCTGAATATCCGTCCAGCGATTACTATACAATTTTTAGCATATATGTATTGCTCTTATTAACTATTGGTTTTGGCTGAATATCTGTTGTACTTATGTAATCTATTTGCATCGTTATTTCAATCAAAACTTATTCATAATAATGTAGTTATCTAATCGTTTTTTTTATTTTATTAAAAAACATTTAAAAATTAATAGCAATACTATTTATAGAATGCTTAGAATAATAAATGTCAGGATATTTTGTAGCATATTTTGTTATCTGTGGGTATAACCATGTTTTACATGTAACCAATGTATTGATGGTCTTAAGTTTGTAGCAGTTATAATTTTTATAGGGGAAGACAAATGAAATCTTAGGTTAGTAACAGTTACATTTTTTATCGGGCATTACAAATGAAATTTTAGGTTAGCAATAGTTATAATTTTTATCAGGGACAACAAATGAAATCTTAGGTTTGTAGCAGGTAAATTTTTTATCAGGGATGACCAATTAAATCTTAGGTTTGATACACATATTTAGTGTGAAGCAGAGGTAACACTAATTATAGTTGTTGTGGATGGGTGGACAAGCAATTATAAGGAGCAAAAAGGGGAAACAATTAATGTATTAATTAAACTTTCAATTCTATAGAACTGGCTAACACAAGGCATATTTATGGTTGTCTATTTATATCTAAAACAAATCTTGCACATTTCAAGTATAAATCGAAATTGAGTAATCTATATACCAAAATCCAGTAATTAAAATTTAATGTTTCTTGTAAAATATGTGCGAAGCAACAAAGATACTTAGTCACACTAAATCCCATTAATAAAATTTTTACTTGACTGTTTTAAGCTATAACTCATAGCCTTCTAAATAAATGCCCCATTTGTTTGTTTAAACTTTTAAAATAATTACTATTTACGTTACCATAGCTAATTGTTTTATACGAAACCATTAGACACACTAGCTATATAGTTTAAAGCTTACTTAGAATCGGCATTCAAAGTTAATTTTCTTTATATAATATGTTAATAGAGATGTTTAACTACAAACACAGAAAATTTATTACTAAGGTAATTATTTTAACTTCAAAACTATTGGAAGATGAGACATAGACCAAAACGGTCTAGCTACTTTAGAAAATTGTGGCATATTTTTAGATTTTGAGCATAGCTATAAATATTAACTGTAATTTCAATATATTTTTTAGTTTTGGCCACAATTTAGGTATATAAATATAGAACTATGTATTGTTTAGATTAGTCCTGGTTTGTAAGTTTTCAGTGATTAATCATGTTAACTGGTATTTATTTTGTACTCCATATTTTGCTACCTATGTATTTAGTATGTAATGCATGCTTCATATTTCACATAAGATAATATAATTACTATATTTCACATAATCAAAATATAGTTTTGGGCTTTTTCCTTTAAAAAACATATGCTGAGCGATTGTATAACTGTTGTCTGAAGGCTTAAGTTTGTTCTTAAAGTAACAATTTTAAGGTACTTTACTGAAGCAACCAGGCAGAAACAGGGACAGAATTTTTAAGGGACCACATACTCGCCTGATGGGATGGAATGGTCGAGTGGTAGCACGTAATATCTCGAGTTCAGCTCTCCAGGTTTTCTGATGCCTTGAGTCCACCCATCTCTGATGGGTACCTGACTGACATTAGGAAAGTAAAGGGGGCTGGGCTGATTCCGGGGTCAAGAAACATGTGAACTCTACTTCATCTGCCATATGCATCGTTAAGTTTGAAAGAGGAACTACATTACTTTACTACATACTTGAATGGGTATTGGGAGGGGACGGGGAACGGTTTAGTTAGTGGGGACGGTTTAGGGAGAGGGAAGTGAAGTGGGCGGACAGTGGGGGATGGGTGTAGAGGGGACGAGAGTGGGAGGAGGGTAGAGGGGACAGGAGAGTGGGAGGGGTGTAGAGGTGATGGGAGAGTGTGGGGGGTGTAGAGGTAACGGGAGAGTGGGAGGGGTGTAGAGGGGACAGGAGAGTGGGAGGGGTGTAGAGGTGATGGGAGAGTGGGGGGTGTAGACGTAACGGGAGAGTGGGAGGGGTGTAGAGGTGATGGGAGAGTGGGGGTGTAGAGGTAACGGGAGAGTGGGAGGGGTGTAGAGGGGTACCAGGTGATGGGGACGGTTTAGTGAGATGGGACGGTTAGTGAGCAGTGGGATAAAGTGTAGAAAGAGGGATTGGGTTAGTGAGAGGGGACAAGGGAATGGGCGGGGACTGGCGGTGGGCAGGGACGGGACAGTGGCAATGTATGTGAGGTCATTGTTGGCAGATTCTATTCAATCGATTTTGGTAAATTATTTTATTTGATCAGGTCACTGATCTAGGCCTACCTTTGAACATAATATTTTTCTACAATAACTGATCCTACGTGTCAAAAATGTGACAATTAGGTAAGGATGAAAACTTTTAATCATCTATTAAGACCACACTGATTGATACGTATGCAGTAAAACATCGATACATTTACTTTCGTTTTTGTGATGGACGCCTATAGCTTTAAAGAAATAATAACATTTTGATTGCCTTTTAAACCCACTTGATAAAAAAATATCACATTATTTTTAATTAAGATCGATTTTACAGGTGTGAACGAGATTTTGATATTAAACTGCAAGCATATTTTTGGACAGCTACTTTTTCAGGTAGCTTTAATTCATTAGGTCCGTATATTTGGTATTGTTTCTGTGAGTATTAATTACAGCAAGGTAGTTACTATAATCGCAAGATATGTGATATTTTTGTGTATATTTGAATTTAACAGCAACTTTTAGTTTTAGTTAACTAAAAGGTTGGTGCATTCCAGATTTTTCCCCAAGTGAAGCTCAAATAAATAAACGCGGTCAAAAATGCGCGTTTGGACTCACATTTGTTGCCTGGTTGTCCTGTTTGTCGGCATAATCCGAACATGTTTTACCAACAAAAGTAAGTTAAACTGACCCCATCGTTAGGGTTACGAATTTTTATTTTATTACTGTAATTCATAATGTCTTTATAATTCTTAGACAGTGTGATTTTTCAGAAATATTTATCAAGAAGACGTTGCAAACAGAGGCATAGCGACTTATTCCGGCTTCCGGGGCGAAAAGAATTTTGCGCCTCCCCCCCCCCCCCCCATCCACCCCCCCCTCAAGTTTTTTAACAGTCACTGTGTTTAAACTTTATTTAGTGTCACACAATCGATTTAGAAAACAGTTTAATCAGTCTGTTAACCCAATTAGTAGTCTTAAAATAATGAATCTCAAAACTAGCCTTTTATTTATTTTCTACCCCGTTTGGCGCCACTCTAAGGGGTATCAAATTTAAGAGAAAAAGTGATACTTGGGCCCTTTTTCAAAAACTGGCAGATGTGAACTAGTTCAAGGAGAGTCGCATAAATTTCACATAAATTTAAAATCTAGGCCTATATTTAAAAAAAAAGTCTTTAGGCTTTAGTTAGGGGATGATTGAGGATACCGATATCCGTTAATAGACCCTTCCGAAAATAGGTGTGTTAGGTTGTTAGTAGTATTGCAATCTAGAATAGTTTTATGGTTAGAAATTAGTTTGGAGTATGGTTGGACAAGGGTTGGGGTTATTGTTAAGGATATGTGTTAGCATTGACATTAGTAAATCATGGTATTTAGTAAACTACCCAAACACCCTTTTTTAAAGAAGACATTATTTTTAAAAAATCCACCTAAAAATTACATTTGCAAGGCATTTTTTAAAAATCACTGACGTGTGGACGTAACGTACAAGGTTTTATGGGATTAGAGATTATTTTTAATTTCCACGGAAGACGCTAATGTTTTTGATTTTATCATGTGACAAAAAGTCAGGAAAGTACCGCTCTTCACTGCTAAGAGGTAACAAAAAAGATCTAACGCTTGTCTCGCCTTTCTGCTCACACAGATTACAACGCAACCAACCCCATCTACTGCAAGGGAGGTCGCCGTGTGTGTGTCCGCGGGGCCGAGTGTGTTAGAGACAAATGTGTCTGCAAAACCGGAAAAGGAAACGGCTATTTTCAGTGTCACAATGATGGTATTTTCCCCACAAAATGATCCGTTTTTTTCGGGCATCTCTTCGGGGGTGAGGGGGGGCGGGGGAAGGACAGTATCCCCCCTTCCTCCGAAGCACGTCTACTGCCCCCTCCAGAACTAAATTGAATTTATAGAGAAAAGGTATACTTTTACCAGAGTCCCCTCCCCCCTCCCTTGGAAAATTTAGTTGTCCCCCACCCCCCGAAAGTTTCATGAGCTCCTCCACCAACAAAGAGAAAAGTCTGAAAGAAACACTGTGAATAAAGGGATCGTCCATAAATGACGAAAAACAAGAAATTGTTGATTTCACGTGATGGTGTGCTACGTAGGGGACAGAGTTTCTTCAGGCATTTTTACGGGGCTGGGGGTTCAATTTTATCATCCCCCCCCCCACCCCTTCCCCATCTGAGCACATCTACCGTATCTCCCCCCAGGCGAAATAGGGAAAAAATAGTACATTTAAATAAAAAATAAAATATACTTTTACAATTGTCAGCCCCCCTCTCACTGGAACTTAAAGGGGCCTGGCGGAGGGGGGGGGGGAGAACTAAATTTTTTCCGAGGGTAGGGGCGGACGCTTATAAAAGTATATATATATATATATATATATATATATATATATATATATATTCTATATATATATACATTCTATTTCGTCTGGAAGCGGTAGACTTGCTTCGAGGGAGGGGGTATGTTGCTTTAGATATCTTTTAAATATATCAATGATACTGTGTAGTTTCCCATGTAGCTTGTCTGTTCTCTACATTAAATCTATTGCCTCTGATTTTATGGACAGACACTGACGTCTGCTACGAATCCGGAGATCCACACTTGGTGACGTTTTCAGGTTCCAATGCTGACATCGATATGCCTTGCCGTCACCACCTAGCCTCGTTTTGGAAGAAAGACCTCGTTTCCAAAAATACCTGCAAGTTTAAAGTATTTGGAGTCAATCAAGTTTGCAGGTGCACTGTCATAAAAGCGACGATTCCCCCCTCCCCAATTATATATATATATATATATATATATATATATATATATATATATATATATATATATATATATATAAAATTATATCCACACGAACATTAATAAACAGTTAAGTTAAAAACCAGAGCCAGTAGCACATTAAGTCAAATGTATAGTCAACATCCAATCCAAAATCTATAAATATCCGTCTCTGACCCCACCTCTCCCCTCCTCATCCAGTTTTAACTAATCCTAAAATAAAGATAAAAAGATTTCTTTTCAACAAATTTTAAACTAACTACGTTTTGATGTTGTTGTTATGGTGAAGAGTTTTATTGTTAGCATCACTTAGTAGTCTGCATCACTACGACCCCGAACTATCTCATCTATTACATGTCAGCTCTAACCTGTATACCATATCCATACCACACAAAAATGATTTCATGATATGCTTTAGAATGGGTCAAAATTACCAAAACGATGTCCGTATTGTATCCGGATAACTGATCCACACTGTTTGTTTAGTGCCCGGATCATTTATCAACACTGTTCGCATGGGTCCTGATCATTGATCACCAAAATCTGTGGGGTACCCGCACCATTGATCACCAAAATCTATGGGGTACCCGCACCATTGATGACCAAAATCTATGGGGTACCCGCACCATTGATCACCAAAATCTATGGGGTACCCGCACCATTGATCCCCAAAATCTGTGGGGTACCCAGACCATTAATCACCAAAATCTATGGGGTACCCGCACCATTGATCACCAAAATCTACGGGGTACCCGCACCATTGATCACCAAAATCTATGGGGTACCCGCACCATTGATCACCAAAATCTATGGGGTACCCGCACCATTGATCACCAAAATCTGTATGGTACCCGCACCATTGATCACCAAAATCTGTGGGGTACCCAGACCATTAATCTATGGGGTACCCGCACCATTGATCACCAAAATCTGTATGGTACCCGCACCATTGATCACCAAAATCTGTATGGTACCCGCACCATTGATCACCAAAATCTGTGGGGTACCCAGACCATTAATCTATGGGGTACCCGCACCATTGATCGCCAAAATCTGTGGGGTACCCAGACCATTAATCTATGGGGTACCCGCACCATTGATCACCAAAATCTGTGGGGTACCCAGACCATTAATCTATGGGGTACCCGCACCATTGATCGCCAACCTTATCTATTCCCCAGCCAAGGTGTGTACTACGCCAGCCAGGCCACGGTGGATCTAACGGTCATTGACCTCAAGGGCTACAGCCACCGACTCCAGGTCGTGATGAGTGACGGCTTTGGCGTGTATCAGGTCTGGCGTTAATGAGCAATCAATTAATTAATTAGTAATTAAAAAAATGGTGGGGGGTGACATAAAAAATGACGTCACTTTTTGACAAGTTTGATCCCTCTTACTCACCGTCACAAAATGCCAACTCCCCCCCCCCCCCACTCCCTCTAAAAACGTCACATTTCAGCCCCCCCCCCACCCCACCGAAATAGAAAAAATCGATTTATTTTTTAAAATATCAACCAGGCTGAGTCAATATTAAGTAGATCTAATCTATATTAATTTATTTTTAATTGAATTTACCACAAATTCCATATTTTTTACGAAACAACCTCTACAATTCAGTCTCAATAATTACTTTTCTAACATAGTCAGAACCACACCTCACGAATTTGTGACACTATTTGTGACTTATGGGCTAACCCTAACCAAAATAAAATTGTCCCGGGGATAATGACGGAGGGGAGGGGGTGGGGGTGGTGCTGGTGAAATTACCCAGGGTTATCCCAATTAGACCCACATTTTTTTGTTGTTATGTAAAGTGTTTACATAATTATATATTACTATTCCGACTAATTATCCATCAAGCTAAAGATGTTTATTTCCCGTAGTAAATAAATAAACTGTACCCACTGCATACAATCTCATTCCAATATTTTAAATCCTATTTTTTAAAGTCCTCATTATTTTTAATACTATCTGTTAAAATTTTCTTTTATTTTTTCTTTTATTTTAATTCGGTGTAATGTTATACAAAACAATACCACAACTCACGAAATCTATTTTTACAGCTGGGCAACTCACGCCCCCACGTTTTTGACGGGGAATGTGACAACATCGAGCTGAACATGGGGGACATTACAGTCTTCATCAACTTCGACGTCGAGGACAAATTCTTCCAGGTTCGGATCCCAGCCTGTCAAACAATCGTCAAGTTTAGGGCACCAGACTTCGATGCCAGGCAGATCAGAAATCAGGTTTGATAACTCGCTCAAAATCTATTCGTGCTGTAGGTTGGATACATATATAGCCTATATATACATATATATATATATATATATATATATATATATATATATATATATATATATATATATATATATATATATATATATATATATATATATATATATATATATACCATACATATATACCATATATATATATATATATATATATATATATATATATATATATATATATATATATATATATATATATATATATATATATATATATACCATACATATATACCATATATGTATAAAATTCTGCAGCTGAGGACCCCTGGTATATTCATATCATCTGTGAATCCCATCTTCCCTTTACTAACATCAAGCAACCAGGCCCAGCTGTGTTTGACGCCTGCACAGAACACGACGTACTACGAAGATGAAGCCAAGGCTAAAGACTTTGAAAACGAAAGGCTGGAGGTCCTGCGTAGATACCTGGAGGATAGCGAACACGGTCAAGAGCAGGACGGGTCAGCATGAGTTGTTTTTAAATGTATTGTTTTGATTTCGTTGTGTTATTCGGAGATAGGTGCGACCCTCCTTTAGTGTGCCAAAGGGCAGAGGCGTAGCGACCCTTCCCGGCGCCCGGGGACAAACTTTCGATTTGCACCCCTCCTCAACCTTTCAATTTATTTTTCCAACCCATTTTGGCGTCTCCTAAGGTCGGCGCCCGGGGACATGTGTCCCCCCCCCACCACCCCCTTTGCTACGCCTCTGCCGAAGGGGTTAAATGTATCAAACATTTTAAATTCTTTGAATCCGCATCTTGAAAGTATCAATTTGATCCGACCCTTCAGTAAAAACTTGTAAATCTCGAATTGATCATTCTATAAATATTTTCCCGCCAAATTCCCGTAAACTACATTTATTTTTGTGTGAATAAAAATTAAAATACATGCTAACAATGACCCTACGATAACAATCTACCCATAGCACACAGGCAATCGTCTCTAAGTCAGTCTAAACTAAACATGTGAGATAAAATAGAACCGAAGTATTTGTAAAGAGAAATGGACAAGTTAAATGGCAACGTATTGGCCAGATAATTTCTGCGTCTTTAAATTAAAAAAGTAATCTCCCACCGCGGTGATCCTTTCATTTTAAATTGTGAAAATCAAAGAATTTTTTTTTTTGCCGTTTAACTTCTGAAACTTATTGTTTGTTTTATAGGAACTACAACTATGTCGCTTAACTTCTTTAACTATTTGTTTATTGTGAAGGAATTATGTTTCCCGCCTTTAAACTTAACAAGCTTTTTGTTTACTTTATAGAAAGTACGCTTCAGATTGCCAGAAAGTACAGAAGAACTATGCCAACTATTGCCCTAAAGCCAGGAAACTAATCGCTCTCAGGGCGTGTGGACCAATTCTCGGCAGCCGTACACTGACAGACTGTCTGATCCTGAGCAAACAGAACTTCATGGCGGCCTTTGAAAGATGCATCTTCGCTTTTTGTAGGCGTGACGTCCCCGCGTGAGTAGGACTCCATTTAAATAAATGTGAAGTCGTGTTTAGGATCGTTCATTAATGACTACGCACTCATACTGGGGGAGTCCGTAGTTTTGTGACAATATATGACTGAGGGTAGCAGTGTTTCTTCCAGGCTTTTATTCCGAGGGGGGGGGGGGGGGGGGGACTTGAAATTTTCCGAAGAGATGCTTGGAAGAAACTCTGGAGGTGAGGGGGGAGGTCAATATCGTCAAAAAAGCGTAACATCATTTATGGATGACCCCTTTGTTTTTATAGTCATGTGCTTCACATGTGAGTTTTTGTAAGGATTTTGAGAATCTAGCATCTCTACTTTATAATTTTTTTTCATGCCGAAATATCCTGTCAGACTAAATAAAAGTGTGAAAATTTGTAATGAAAATTGATCGTAAAATAGTGCCCTCTATTTTTTAAACTATTTTTTTTACACACTGCAACAAAACAGACATGTTTTGCAATGTTTGTGTGTGTTCCGCTCAGCCAGGACAAACCGACTTCATGTGTTGCCAAAACGTTTTGTTCTTCTTCTTCTTTCTTAATTTTTAGTGTTGGAAGGGATCGAGCCTTATCTGCCAGAGGGTTTGAACTCGAGACTTTTTTCGAATTTATCAACGTTTCGTGATCACAGAGATTTAAAACTTTTAGATACCCCTTCAAAAATTTAGATACCCCTTCAAAATCATTTTTCAAGGGCGGCGACACATTTCTCTATTATCAAGGGAGACAACCCTTATATGTTTTTTTCTCTAGGTAACTGCCAATTTGTGGTATTTCAGGGGAGACAATAAGATAGTTTTTTAAAAATTTCCTTGGATACGTAAAAAATTTTAATTAATTTTTCTAGGTTGGCTAAGTGACAGAAGTTTTGCAAATCCAACCCTGATCATAATGAAAATGTCCAATGATCTTTTCTCCCAGATGTAAAGCAGCCCAGTCTATCCTGGATGTATGTGGATACAAGAGTCTTGACTGTAGATCTCTGGCCTGATCAGATGTACATTCTCAATGAAGAGAGGGCAAAGGTTAGGTCTTTCTTGGAATGATTAACAGTGTTTTTCCAGACTTTTTTCTCCGGAGGGGGGGAGGGTGAACTCTGTTAAAAGTATATATTTTCTATATAAATTCCATTTCGTTCGGGGAGGGGTGGGGGGCAGAGATGCCTGCAAGAAACTGATCGTTAATACAAATAAAATGTAAAGGATTGTAAAAAACCACTGTGTTCATTTTCATCAGGCTTTACACAAATTTTGATTTAATAAATCTTAACACAACAGTGCATTTGATTTACACTAATGAAAATTTACATCTAAATGTTAGGATCAACTTTTATTTAACTAGGTTATTCTATTTTAACATTCTCTCTAAGGCAAACTGCAGTGTATTTTTAGAACTGGAATTTCCTGGAGCAGCAACAAGATGTGCTGAAAGTGTTTTAATATTTCAATTAACCCTTTCATGACCATGTAATAAACATTGTTTTGAGCAAATGACTAGTTTTTGTTCTATGTACCACACAAAAAAAACAACCTATTTGGATTCCTCAATTTAAAAATAAAAGCTAACATGACAAAAAGTGGGATTTAGTGTATGGTATTGGCAAGCTTGTGGGCAAGCATGATGCCTAGACTCATTTGTTTGTACCTTTTTGCCTTCTAAAAAAAGTTTTGATGTAACATCAAAGCATATTTTACTGGATAATAAAAAAACAGAGCAACCAGGGGGTCGGCGTGGTCGAGTCAGTAAAGCTCATGGTTGCTTAACCGAAAAGTCTCGAGTTCGAACCCTCGGGCAGATGAGGCTCGTTAGCTGGGGACAGCCACTCTTCTAGGAGAGACAACTCCAAAATTAAACAAATGCTGCCTTGTAGTTTGTTCTTGGTTAGACAAAGGAGGGGATCCCTCCAACACTAAAATTAAGAACGAAGAAGAAGAAATAGAAACCAAAGTTCATAATATTAAAATAAATTTCACAAGTAATATTTTAATATCTTTTATCCTGCAGTCATAAAATGAAAACAAAAGAAAATGTGTTATATTAATAATAATATATTTATTATTTATTCAATGCAGAGAATATCCAGCAATAAAACACATGATAACATGCGATATATAAATGGTGAACATTTCTATGTTGCATCAAATACAACCACCTCCAAGTCACAGTTGAAAAAAAAATCAATTAACATCATTGAACCCATGCAAAAATTGATAAATCAATGGACACACATAGTGTGGTCAAAGAATGTTTTTTTTTTAAAACTCTAACAGTGAAGATGTAGAGACATTTAAACATAGAAATCTCATAGTTTTATCTTTTTATATTCTAGGAAACATTAAAAATGAACATTTAAAAATAGAAATTTCATAGTTTTATCTTTTTATATTCTAGGTAACACATTAATAATGAACTTTTAAAAATAGAAATTTCATAAGTTTTATCTTTTTATATTCTAGGAAAAACATTAAAAAGAACATTAACAATCTAGAAAAGAAATTGTTAAAAATAATAAGATTAAATGAAACTATAAGTTGCAGAAAGTACTAGCTGATAAGCTGATATACCTGGGGAAGAATCAGTGGGTGAAAGGTAGGCTGAGGGGTTCAAAGTGACTAACCACATACAAGTAAACAGAGTTCCATAAGAATTATGGAAGGTGCCGTGGTAAAACAGGAATTTTTGTATGTTTTAAATAAGCATTGTCTGGTTTTTGTGATAATGTGTGATTGTCACAATAGGAGGGGAACACAAAATAGTCTGACTAGTTAAATAATTTTATGAATGGCACCAATGAAGATTTTAATTTTCAAGTCCCAAAACTAAGGGTTGGGGAAAGGAAGAGTGATCAGTTAAGAAAACAGTCTCAAAGTAAATATGAGAGATAGTAAAATAAATCAAGAATGTAGGGTTTCATGACAATTAGAGCTATCAATTTTAGAGAGATGACAAAATATTATTTCTACTCGGAATACTTCACCCACACCCTACTTTTCTCATTTTTTCTTCCACAACATCATTCAAATAGTTTTCAAAGAAAATTAAATAAAAACAGTTAAAACAAATTACACTACTGTTTTTTTTGCTGCCATGACCTACGCCCTCACCCTTTTTCCCTAATTTTCACAGCAACAAAACTAGAAAAAAAAAAGAAAAAAGGTGAAATGATGAACTGCTACCAGAAACACTAAGTAAAATGCTTCATACAGCTGCCTGTAAGCTTTCATGGTATTGGATTCATTCATAAAATAGTTTCATACAGTTGTAAATCATCATAATCTTTAAAAACACAAATTTTCATTCTAAAACTACTCTATTAAATGTAGGGTAGTTTTTTTTAAAATAATTTCTATTGGTTAAATTTTTTCATTTTGACATTGTATACCTTAAAATTCTGATTTAAGTCTAGTGTTTAAAGTTAGTCATTACTTTCAGAAGTAAAGAACGCTGGTAATTTACGTTGAAGTTAAATTTGTTGTAACCTTTGACCACAACAAAACTTGCGCACCACATCAAACTCTGAGAGGTTACTTGCTCTCTGTGTGTCCATTTGATCCACTAAGAATTGACTCCAATGACTCCCTGTGAAAACCAATAATTAATTAACTAATTAATTAACACTAACTTTGGAATAAAACATACTACCATGTCAATTACATTTTCAAATGGTAGAAATGTGAAATATATTAAATTTTATGCATTTTTTCTTTTTCTTCATTCTTAATTCTAGTGTTGAAAGAGATTCTCTCCAATACAACTAAGTATTACCTGTCACTTGTTATGCGCCATATAGGCCGCTGACTACAATTTCAGCCTACTTTTATTTTATGCTTTAAATTGGTATAAAAAAAAGGTTTCAGAGTGGATAGTGAAAGTCATGAGTTTTAATCCCAGACTAGGATATCCACCCAGTTCTGATGGGGTACCTGACTCCTAGAAACATATGAACTCTACTTTATCTTCTGCCCTATTGACCATCAGGCCCACAAAGGTAACATTATGTTCATTGTATTAAATCTTGGTTGATTGCAGTTGAAACAAGACAATCCCAATACACAAGTATTAACTGTTAATTAGGCTAACTAGACAAGTGAACTCTACTTCAATCACCCCATATACTGTCAGGATTGATAGGGAACTTTACTAGGCTAACTAAATCTCTTAAGTTCTCCTGTTTACCTCTTTAATTTGAGGCAACATATTTAAGTACTGGTGTTTAAAACTGGAATGTGCTGATTGTAGCAGGACTACTCAGTGGATTGAGACAAATGACAGAACATTATGAGAAAATCAACTGGGTGCTCACACAACACCAATAAGGGTTAACAGATGATGGATTGATTAATTTAAAACCATCTCAAGGATATAAAACCAACTTACCTAGTCTGTGAAAGTTGGGACTTGATGCGTTCCTTCATGCCAGGTCCTGATGCTGACTTGTATTTTTCCTCCAGGTCGCTGATGTTGGCCTTGTACCCTGTGACGTTGTGCAACACCTGGACATGCTTGCCACCTGAGGACACCAGGTAACGTCCACTGATGTCAAAGCTGAGGCCTGTCATGGGCTCTGGGGATGCAAGGAGTTTTGGCATAAGTAATGAGAGAAAACAGGAATTAATGCTAGAATACAGCTCAACAAATTGGATACTTAGTACAGAGAACATAAATAACATTACAACACAACTCAATGGGCACTTAGTACAGAGAACAAAAATAAAGGCTACAACGTAACTAGACAAAATGGGCAATAGCTTTTCTGTTTTCAAAGCTAGCACTTTTTTGTTACCAAGCTGGATATGCAGTGTGTAATTGTAAAATAAAGATTTTGTACAGTTAATTGTAGTAGTTTTTTAAGTGAAGGTTCTAGTTCAATAACTCTGTTGAAATAATTGTATTTTATTAATTAAGATGAACAGCATTATGATTTCAGTATTTAAAAATCCAAAAAGTAAATTTGGTTAGAATTTACTTTCCAATTCATATTTGATAAAAAAAAACAAAAACAAACTAAAATTAAATTTGAATTTTTTATGGTAAATTCTATGATAGTACATCAGTTTGTCACTAAAATGGACAAATTAGAGTATTAAAGATTCTAAATTGACAAGACAGGACTTTCCTATTCCTATTTGATAAAGAAAAGAAACCTAAAATTAATTTTTATTCTGGTATAATATAAAGTAATTCAGGTGGTCACTAAAATAGATAATTTCGAGCATTTAACATTCTAAATTGACCAGGGATGTTACAGGGGAGGTGAATCAGTTACCTGCATGAACATCATGCATAACTTCATGCTCCTTCCCAGCATCAGCATCCCAGAAGGCAATACTAGTAGCGCCCCCTACAGCCACTGTGTGACCATCAGGGGATAAGGCAATCAGTGAAGGACCTTGAAATGAGACATTGCCTGTAAACAAGAGCTTGGCATCCTGGCCCATATCATAGCGGACTGTGGAGTCAAAGAATTGTGGGGAAATAATACAAAAGTCAAAACAAACTGGATTACGATAACCAAGCATAAAAAGTTTATCTAAACCTGCATTATGTAAAACAGACTGAGTTAAATTAAATATGTAGGCCTAACTGTTATAATAAGATAATATAGAATGTGTTACTTTTTGAATGTGGGAGGTTACAGTGATTTATTCACAACTGCTTGAGTAAGAGCAGGTGATAGACACATATGTACAGAAAGGACCAATCTTCTTTTGAAACTAGACAACTCTTTTAATTGATCTTGTTAAAAAAAATCACACCTTATGCATTAAAAATGAAAAGAATAAAATAAAGAGAGAAGCTAGGGAAACATACCATCCGTGTCCCAGAATTTCCAGGTACCATCTTTAGACACAGATGCCATTCTGCAACATTTTTTTTCAGGGTTATTTAAAAATATTTTGTTACATGTTATTATGTTTAAATAATTACTTTTTCAATTAAAAAAAACAAAAAAAACAAGATATTTAAACATTTTTCCTAGAGGTTTACATTTTATGACTTATTCCCTCCCCAGACTATATTAAGAAAGGTATTATAAATAATAATATCTACATAAAAATCCCTCCTCCCAAAAGATAGATTAACATACAGCATGATAACACTAATATACATGTCATGTTTGCAAAAACAACAACAGGAGATTGGGACTTGTAGTTTATTTTTTAAGTTCAATGCTCTCATTAGAGATTAAAGGAATTTCTTAGTAACTTCACATTTTTACCATGTTTCTTAAATAGCTTAAAACAAAAATGCGCTGAGATAAGCATTGCTGGTGACTATGTTTTTTTTTTTTACAAAAAATATGTTGAAATAGTTTTTTACCCTCATTACATACCTTCTGGCATCCATATTGAAGGAAAAGTGATAGACTCCAGCCTTGTGACCTTTCAACTCAAAAGCCCTTTTCACTTCCTTGAATGTTCCAGTTTTGTCAAAATGTACCTCCCACACTTTCACATCAGGGGTGAAGCCTGAAAGCAAAATATTCAAAAACATTTCACAAATATTTCATAATGTACATCCAACACTTTCACAAGGTTAAGTCTGAATTATGAATACAAAATATTTTAAAAACATTTCACAAATATTTCAAAATGTACTTCCAACACTTTCAGAGGGTAATGTCTGAATTAGGAATACAAAATATTTTAAAAACATTTCACAAATATTTCAAAATGTACATCCAACACTTTCACAAGGTTAAGTTTGAATACAAAATATTCAAAAACATTTTACAAATATTTTAAAATGTACCTCCCACACTTTCACAGGGTTATGTCTTGATACAAAATATTTTAAAAACATTTCACAAATATTTTAAACATCATATATAGCATTTAAAGAAAATAAAGTAAAATGTAGATACAAGTAGTTTACCTGAAGAGGCAACAAATCTTCCGCAAGGGGAAACTTTACCACAAGAGTTGGACATCTGGTGTGTGTCGATTGTTGCCAAAACTTCCCCTACAGAAAACAGGTTAGAACATGAGTCATTTAATTTTAAACATAATGGCTAAGGGGAAAATTATGTAGTTTTAGACCATAAAGAAAGGCTGATCTGTAGCTTTTTAACATTCTTAAAGTAATTTTTATTTAGTTGGTACTTAATTAAAGGAAAATAAAAAATAAAAAGGATGAAAGATTCATCATGATATAAATACACAAAGTTAAACAGTATTGAGAGCGTTATAAAACATTTGGGATATTTTATCCAGAGATTTTGTCTGATTAATATCATTATTTGTTAGGATAAGTTATAAACAATTTATGTCTACTGTGCTAAAATTATTAAACAGCAATGTCTCAGTTAACAGGGAAGAAAAAATCAGACAAAAACATTTTCATTGTTACCTTTTAAGTCCCAAATGATAATTGTTGTGTCACCACTACATGTCATTATAAATTTACCACTGGATGCTATTCCAACTCCAATAATGTCTGTCTTATGTTTCTGCCAGATAAATTACAAAAAAGTATGCCATTAATTTTAGATAAAACTGCAGCTTTGTGCATTTGCTTTAGGAGATGTTAATAAGAAAAACATTTGTAGGCTCGTACTTTAGGGAATGTTAAGAGAAATGTGTGGGCACTTACTTTAGGGAATGTTAGGAGAAATGTGTAGGCACTTACTTTAGGGAATGTTAGGAGAAACATTTGTGGACACTTACTTTAGGGAATGTTAGGAGAAATATTTGTGGGCACTTACTTTCGGGAATGTTAAGAGAAATGTGTGGGCACTTACTTTAGGGAATGTTAAGAGAAATATTTGGTCACTTACTTAAAGGAATATTGGGAGAAAAATATTTTGTCATCACTTACTTTAGGGAATGTTAGGAGAAATGTGTGGACACTTACTTTAGGGAATGTTATGGCTCCAGTGATTGAAACATTATGACTGCCATCCTCCTTCTTCACTAATCTAAAAATTCTCAACGCATTTTCATTCGCCAATGAAGCTACAAAAGCTCTGAAAGAGACAGACAACCATGTACAACAGCGAGTGACACTTTACAATTAAAAAAAAATTTGTTTTACATTGCTTTACTAATTATCAATAATTTTTTATATTTTTCTGAAATAAAAAAAAAATTGTCATCTATGTTAATGTAGCATTAAAATAAAACATTCAACAAAACAACAATGTTAACACAATTTACCTTGAGTCAGGGCTGAAGGCAATATGGGTTGCACTATCTAAATCAACATTGCCACGTATATATCTGTAAAACCATAGTTCTACATTATAAATTACATTCTTAAATAAGAAATATGTTCAAAGCATATGCTTTTTCTTTTACAGTGAAGTCAAAAACTAAATAATTGTAGAAACATATAACCAATAGCATGAATTTGATTGAATATAGGTAACAATATTCTTGCAAAAGTCTTATAGCTGCAGAAACATGAATTCTACTTCACTTGTCATATTTACTTCCATTTTAAACAGTCTTCTTTACTAATACTTGTTGCGTACAGATAGATCAAGGTTCAAAACCATGTGAGAAGGTTTTGCTCTGCAAAGATTCCTAAGAATAAACACCCCAAAAAAAATGTCTAGTAAGGCTTTGCTGGCTACTTGACAAATGAAAATTGTGCTGGCCACACAACATGTTTGCCATAGTGGCAGCACCTTCGTACAGTGAAATTAAAACTTACTTATGGTCTTTTTGTTGGAATTCTTTCACACTCCATAGCATTAAAGCCCTGTCTAGACAAAACAGAAAACAAAATATTAATTCATTTAACAAAATAAATGGAAAAAAAAAGTTTTGATTACATTTTGTTTTTGATGAACTTTCAAATTTTAGGTACTGCAAAGTACTGAAAATACAAAAATAAATACTACTACAACAAATATCAGAAAAGGCAGGTTTTTGCCAGAACATGTCATATACTGATAACATAGCCACTAAGTGCAAAATTATAGGTCAATTGAGTGGCAATTGCCTCTCTTTGTCAATTTTTAAAAAAAGCATTTGATAGCGTGGATTCGAATGCCACGCTCGATCAAGCTGGGTACCATGACGGTGGGACGACGTTCTGCGTCAGGTGGTGAGGAAGGCAAGCCTGGTGAGAGCACACCAAGGCAAAGCGAGTGACATGCAGTGTTCGAACCGATATCTTCGCGAGGTCGGCCTGGCTTATGGGAGTGCAACTCCTGAGCTGGTGATCCGTGTTTTGTGATAGCGTGGACTAGATGTAATTGGAGTTACTAGAATTAATAGTTGCCTGTGCTGCATTTTGAACATCAAGTGTCCTATAAAATTACCAATGCTCAACTGTAGAGAAAAACTCTACAGTTAATCCATTAATGTGGATGGATTAGACACATCTTGCGTATACTAACTAACAACATCAACAGACACGCATTATAGGTTGGAATCCCCAAGGAAAAAGGAAAGTAGGTAGGCCCAAACAAAAATGGAAAAGGTCAGCTGTCAGTGAAGTTGAAGAAGCCGGAATGTCATGGGCCCAACTTGGAGGAATCGCCCAGAACAGAGTATGATAGACAGGTGTGGTTGTGTCCCTTATTTATTAATAAGTCCCTATGCTCCACAAGGAGTTCACAGGAATGAAGATGAGCTGGAAAATTATGACATTTACCATGACAAATACAAAAATACATATTTCTTACATGATAACAGTCATTAAAATTATAATAGATTATGTAGAATTTTCAAGTAATTTCAAAGCATAGAAATACACACCTTCAGATGCTGATAGCATATATTTTCCATTTGGACTAAAATCTATTGAGACTATCCTACTGCTGTGTCCTTTAAGGGTACAAGACAGCCAGAGATGTGAGAATGGAACAAAGGCTGGCTTCTTTGCAGTCTTCACAGGGGCGGGTTTTCCTTTCTTGGTGCTGACCTTGTCATGACTTTGAGTTTCATGATCATCTGTCTTGGAATCTGTTTTAAAAACAATATTTTTGTTAAACATTTGACTGAAAACAAAACTAATTTAATAATGAAGTACAGATTAGTTGTGGTTTGGTTACTTTGTGAAGCTAGAAAAGTGTCATTCGTCAATTAAAATACAATGAAGGAAGTTTGATTATCATGTGGTTGTGACTAAGAGGCCTAGCGGTAGAGAACTAGACTGCTAACCCGTAAGTCTCGAGTTGAAATCCGGGTTCAAGTCAGTATACAGCCTTGAGTCCACCCAGTTCTACTAATGGGTATCTAACTCACATTAGGGAAAGTAAAGGCGGGTGGGCATAGTGCTGACCACACTATCCATTTGCCGACGTCACAGAAACAGATGAACTCTATAATAGTCTATATAAAAGTATATATTATATACTCGTCTGGTTTGGAAGGGGAACTTTACTTTTTTTATCATGTGGTGCTATTATAGTTATAATAAACTTGTGTATGTCTATTTGGATTCTATTTGTTTTTAGTTGCATGAGTGGAGAAGTATGCCCATAAGTATGGCAACAATGATTGAGAAAAATAATCTGAATTATGTTTGGTGACTGCTACTGATTGTAGGTGCCCAGTGAGTTGTGATCCTGCTAAGCCGTCGCAGAGTTAGATCTAGAAAAATGTAGATCTAGTCTAGCCAGACTCAAGAGTGGACGTAGAGTAGGTAGACTATGAGTCAGTTGAGGTTAACTTGAATTAATTTGATGCTTGGCTGGTGGCTGGGATGAGGACTGAGTGATGTGATGCTAATCTAAAAATCTTTTTTTTTTTATTAGGGTTCAGTTTGAATTTTAAAATTACCCGAAGTATTTGCATCTTTTTTATCACGCCTTAGCACGTTACAGAGCAAAATAAATAATAGTACAACAGCCCCAACAGCAGCTGTTAGGGCAATGAGAGGGATTGACGCTTGTTCTGTTACTAAATTTGTCATGTTTTTACCGACGTGTTGATGTGTTGGAAATTTAGTGTAGACATTTCCGGTCTAGAAAACGAAAGTGGCTTTTTTCAAAATTTTTTGTCTAGGCCTTGAAATCTATGTTGGTCATAAATTTTTTTAAAAAAATAATTGGATCAATCATTTTAAAATCTTTATAACAATAAGCTTTTGAAAGCTCTAAGAAAATTAATTTAAAAAAAGTTTTTAATTGGAAAAATCAAATAATTTGCTTTAAATCCCGATCTCTAAATGGGGGGGGGGGGGGGGGGCGTCCGTATATGACGTCACACTCGTAGGGGGGATGTGGGGTCCGTAATTTTCTGATGGTGTGTGATGAGGGGAGGGGGGAGGGTGTCAGATGGTGTGAAGTCACACTTTTTGCATAGTAGAAAAGCAGTAACAGAAAACGAATTTTAGCCTTTCGCGTTTTAGAAAACTTTTAAAATAAATTGTTAGAGAAACTGATTAAAATGCTCTACGTTGACAGATTTCAGACACGATTTTTGAAAAATATCGATGTTTTAAGAAAAATTCAGCTACAATTTTGATGGGAGGGGGGGGGGGGGTTGTAGGCTGAGTGTGACGTCGTTTTAGAAGGGCTGGCTTTTTGTAACGATATGTGACGGAGGGGATGGGGAGGTAAAAATCGTCAAAAAAGCCTGACGTTATTTATGGATGACCCCAAAGACAATTAATAGCCCACAACAAAAACGACCTCGTCAAAATGACCACGACAAACTGGCTCGGCCAAAAGACCAAGTTCTCGAGTTTGGCTCTCGAGATAATGCCTTCCGACATATGGGCTCACGATAAATTGCCACGGGCCATTTTGACGCCGCCCGCAGTTATTTGTCTCTTCTTTGTCCGTAATCAAGCAAGCATGCAACTCACTGCCGTCAGTAACAGGCCTACTTATCTTGTTATCTACTCTTTTGTTCTCCTCTTTTGTTATTAAATTTAGTAATCTTTTAATAACATTTCAATGACTAATTTAACATGTAATTATATTTGAAAAATAGCGCGAAATTCTTATTTCAGGCTTGGGTCCCTGGGAGCTGGGCACGCCCTTGATTCACCCAGTTCTAATGGGCGCCTGATAGTACTGAGGCCAGAGAAATATATATTTTAAATAAAAGCGTATATAAAATATTTTAGTAGATCTATTTATCAGAATTATAGGCATACTTATAGATATATTTAATACCTATTTAGTGTAAGTTAAAAGTATGTGCATTAATGAATGACAAACAATAAAACATGGTTAATGGTTGACTTATTACGGAAGTGAAGCGATCGTGTCGAGGGGGAGGCGCACCCTTCCCCACCAGTTATCTCCAGTGCTTCTTTTAGACATCTCTGAAATTAATTGACAGGGGTAATTCATTTGGAGGTAATGCCATGGCAGGGGATAATTAACCGGAATTTACTCATAGGGCTCAAGCATAAAATATTGTAATTATGTTGTTTTCAAACAATTATATTAGCCGAAATTAATAGTCTCAATCAGATAGACCAACATGCAACCAGTCACTCCCTCCCCCAAAGTAGCTTTTGAATAATCTTCTAAGTTGATCCGTTTGTCTTTCAATAATAATTTATTTGGATTTGTGTTGGCCGTTCCGAAGTATAAAAATGTACAAATTGACATCTACGAAAGAGCAAAAAAGTCAAATTTAATGTACTTTCAGACGTGACTTATGCGTAGATGGATGTAGTATCGTGTTACTCATATAACATTAATATATATATATAGAGGCTGCAAATTTTACGAATAATTAATGAACTCATTCGATGTATAAAGATCTCGAACTATACGTTTGAAAACTTAAATCACTAGGCCTACTGCCGGCAATAATTTACGGAACCATAGAGACATGATAAAGTTGCTCTCAACAAAAAAAGATCGGTTTCCGCTTTGCAAAATTTGGGTCTATGTTTAGTGTTTGTGTAGAAATGATTCTTATTAAAATGAAAAATACAATTTTCTAGGCTTTACTGCCAGATATTTATATTAAGCATAGAATATAATGTGTTAACTACTATTCTGATGCAAGTAACTTGAGAATACAGAAGGCATCAGCATTGGAAATGCAAATTTAAGTTAGTTAAAGTTAGATATCCATTTTTCAACAAACTGAACAACAGCAGATCTGTGAGGCTGAACCAATTTTCAAATTTTGAATTACTAGGAATTAGTAAACTATAAATTCTCTGTAGACCTAGATCTTGTAATCTCAAGTCTCAAGCCTAATTAAAATAAGAGTAAATTATTTGTATTAGTCTGTATAAAAGTCGTTATGCTCAACTAAAGACAGTGGCTGAAAGTAGCAGTAGTCAGCCTGTTTTTACTGGTCTGGGCAGTGTTCTCGTCATAATTATTTCATATTAAGCTAATTATTAAAATATTCGAGCCTGTGATCTTTAAAGAAAATAACATTTATTATAGCCTATTATTTTGGCTGTTAAAATTAGACCAAGGCGCAGATTAGCCTACCTTTTTGCTTTACATTTAATAAATTCGCCCTAATCTTAAGTAAACTGCTGTAGGCTTAAATTACTATATTTTAATTGGCATAGACTGAAAAAAGTGTTATACTGTGTGTATGCCAATATATAAAACAACCTCAGGATACTTTTTCTGTTATGAATGATGAAAGAAGTAGGCCCATTTCTGAGGATGCAATATCATTTCTAATACAACATTTTTTAAGTGATATTTATTTGGACAAATTTTAAAAATGTTAGGACTTTGTTGGACTCCAAATGCTGTGCAAGGCATGCAGAAAATGGTAAATAAATTAAAATAGCGTAAAAAGAGTTCAATTATGAATATATTTAATGAAGTCAGAAACCATTCTTACTTTTGCTTGAACAATTCACAAAACTTTCTGGCATGTAATTTCATCAAAACTGTAACAGCTAATTAATATGATTGCAAAAACAAAATGGTGACTATTAATTTGGCAGGCTACTTTAACAATAATTTCTAATTTTGCAAATTCATGTTCCCTCAGGCTAGTACTATGCCATCGAATCCAGAGCAGCTTCTTGGTGCAATACTTGTGAGAAAAGATATCTTTCATCGCTTTGAAACTACAATGCATGATACATGTTTAGATGCAAATAATCTACTTGAATATCTTTTTTCACTGTACAACAGGTAATAGAATTTACCTATTTTAATTATGATATATCAGTAGTAGTAATATAATATTTAAAAAATTTAGGTTTCTCCACTTTGTAAAGTGTATTAACTTCACAGAGAATCAAGTTCTATAGGTCTTATTATTAATGGATGTTTACAGTGAACAACATTATAATTATCTTAAAAAAAACTCTATTATTTTTTAGTTAATTAGTTGTTTTGTTCTGTCGTTCCATTATTACATTTTTTATTGACACATTTATTAATACTAAGATATTTTAAAATCATAGATAAAAAGCCTATTACAAAAAAAAAATTAACCTAAATAATTATTTAATTCATTCTGAAAATATTTTCAGCACGGCTGCACCTGCAGAAAGAGAAAATTTCCCATCTACACAGAATATAGGATTTATGCGCAGGGATACCAATCACAATAGGAAATCTTCAGGGAGAGGCCATCACATATTCAATCAACAAGGAAACATTGTTAATAACCAACATTTGCAACCAGGCATACAAGCAAGACTTGGTGAATCACCTAGAGGTCTACAGAGTATGCCTGATGGATTCAGAAAAAAGCCTAAGATGGAACAGCACAATTTCCAGGCAAATTTAGCATACAATACACAGCATCAGGAATATAATCAGAATACTGCTATACGACCACATGACACGCCAGTTTTCCCTGGTTCTGGTAATAAAAATATCAACGCAGGAGTAAAAATGGAGTTATCTACTGATGGAGATCCGCGGCACACTCAGTCGTCATCCCCTCTACCGCCTTTTAGTCAGATTCGTCGTCAGGGTAGCAGACCATACAGCCCTGGTTCTGCTCCTTTCCCTGACAACTTGGCAACTCCACCGCATGATGATGGGCGGCATAACGTGCCACATGATTCCAGTGGGGATATCAAATCAGAAATAGAGGGTGCATTGCACAGAACAAATGAAGTGCCCCAACCAGCTAAAGTGGCTCATAGTCAGATAAAACATGCCAAGAAACATAAAGGTTAGTTATCTTGTATTTAAAAAAGCATATAGTGTATAAATACAATACTAGATGCAAGCTGAACAGAATTATCTTAAATTTAAATTAAATCTGCAACCTTTCCAAATCCCATTTCCAATATCCATTGCTTTATGACCCCCTGTCATCATCACCTCTATGTATAGCACCCTCTCTCTCCCTCTTCAGTATTTCTCACTCACCTTCTCTGTTCAGTGAAATTCATTAAAAGTGTGTTGAATAGGAAAGTAAAAAAAAAAAGTGCACCCAGAATATTGCATTTGTTAAATTTTAAGATCCAATTGTAATTTTCATGGCAGGGAAAGTTTGAATTAATTTGAATATTTTCCATGAATATTGCAAAACATACACAAAGTCATTGTTGACAAACATAAGATGTTTTATTAAAACGTTCATAATAGAAATAATAAGAAAATTAATAATGAGACCTGCAACTTACCCAGTCACATTTCTTCATCCAAACTTTAGCCTCTCTTCTACAAGATAACAACAACAGTGGAGAGCGTGCAGGCAGGAAGAAACGATCTCACCAGTGTTTTTGTGGAGCTTTGTTTACAAGAGCTGACAACTTAAAAAGACACATCAGAAAATGCCATGAGGAAAAGCTTGAAAAATTAAACAATGCTCCCATAGATTTTGAGGTAGACACCGGTGGTCCCCCTTTGACTGAATTCCCAACTGTGTTCCCGGGGGCAGGGCAAGAAGCTGTGAACTCATCACAGCAGCAGGCAGAGAACCATGATCAGCAACAGCAGCAGCAACAACAGCAACAAGAACAACAACACCCACCCCAGCAGGCTGAAGAGACGTTGAAGCCTGGAATGAAATGGTTATGTTTTTGTGGGGAAAGTTTTGAAGACCATCGACAGTTAGTTGAACACACCAGAACACATGATAACACATAAAGTTGTAGGATTATGTTTTCAGATCTATCACTTTTTAAAAATCATTAACGGTAAATAGACTGTAGCAGCTAACTACGAATTATGTTCTAAAATTATGTTAACTAAAAGCTTATCCAAAAATCTTTAACAGTTTTTAAGAAAAATAACTAAAGGGGCCAGAGAAACTTGTAAAAATTGTTTATTTTAAAGATTTTTTTGACTTTGTACATTATTGAAAATATTGTTTAACTTTTGAATTGTTTTACAATAGTTTTGTTTTACAGCTGTGTTGTTTTACAGATAAATCCTTCTAAGTATTGGCAAAATATAAAATTTTATGCACTCTTATTTTATATATGATCTAAGCTATCTTACACATACAATATTGATTACTTCCAATGTAGTTAAGTAGATTATTACTTAGAAATAATTGTAATACATCTTCTATGAATGGCACAAATATTCATTGTTTTACTATGCATTTTAAAGTAATTAACATGTAAAATAGTTTTAGTACTTGCTTTGAAGAACTGATGTTCACTACAGTAGTTCATATTGTTTACATATTATATCTGTATCACATCATAATCGCTGCTATCAATGTCATTTTTAATCTCACTACCTTGTTATATTTTAGTATTTCTATCAACTAAGTAGTTACATGTCTATATTAGTGAAGACACTCGACCAAGGCCCTCACGGTCTCTAAGCCAGGTATATTATTTGCATCTCTTGTTGTTATCCAAGCAGCTTTGTTAATAACTGGAATAGCACTGTTATATGTTTGTTGTTATAGATAGTAGTATCATATAGAGTGGTCCTCACTTTGTCATTCATTAGTTGTAAAAGTTGTGATGTAACTGGGTTTATGATGAAAGACTTAATACACTCTAAAACATTTACTGGAAACAACCTTTTTTTAGATGAAAAATTTTGAAAATTTTATAATCAAAATGGTGACATTTTTTTAGCTACGGTAACGTGTGTTTAAAAACAAAAGAAGGGCAACTAGCTTTCCTAAACTAACTAAAAACTTAATGACAAATTATTGTCTTAATGATTTTAGCATCATTTATCATTGAAGTGTGAATAACATTTCAATTCATAGTAAAGTAAAGTAAATTTGCCTTTAAAACCTGACGGTCTACGGGGCAAGTGAAGTTCACTTGTTTCTGTGACCTCAGCATATGAAGGGATAGTGTGGTCAGCACTATGCCCAGCCGCCTTTACTTACCCTAACGTGAGTTAGGTACCCATCAGAGCTGGGTGGACTCAGGGACGGTCTACAGACTTGAACCCGGATTCGAACTCGAGACTTATGTCAGTTCATAGGACAAGGACTAAAATTCAGATAATTAACACTGTAAAAATAAAATCTTGAAATGAACTAGGCTTGATATTGTAAATTATTATTATTTTTTTTTAAAGTACCAGTGTATTACTACTTGAGAGTTGTATGGTTGGAGTAGTACCTTTATGGCTCGTAGATCACTGCCTGTATCTGAAGTTTATCTTCTTGTTGAAGTGTTTCATTAGATCTGATAGAGATCTCAAGACTTTCTTTTTACTAAAGCAAACTTGTTCTCCTTTGTGTGATATCAATTGAAATATACATATTTAGCAATAGCTATCTGTTTCTCTCAATTTTTGAGACTTTTTCTGTACAAAATTTATCGTCCATTTATAATTTCTCTTACAGAGGTCTTGGTGTAGTTTTTTTAATGCAAATATACATTTGTATTTGAGCACTGTTTTCTTTAAAGAACTTTTTAAAAAAGTAACTGGTTGTAAAATCACTAAGTGATAATTCTTAGTTCTGTTTGATGCCATTTTCACATATGAACCCAGTGTAACAACAGCAAATGCACATTTGTTTTTCTATATCTCTATCAGAAACTAGAGTGATAATACTCATATAAATGAGCCAGCTATTTTAATCAGCTGGGTCATGTTGCTTGCTGTCCACACAATTATTACTTATGGTGTGGCCACAACAATTGTGAAAAAAGAAATCTCTAAAAGTATGTTAGTTTCAATACTGTAAAACTTTCCTGCATTTTTGACCCAGAAATGCTTTAGTAATATTTCTAATCTATACCTGATAAACTCAATGCCTAATGTCATTGCTGTACTGTGAATAATTAATTTTTTAAACTAATTGATTGGTTGGATTACATATGCATGTTTGTTTACACAGTGATAATGCAAGCCAATGTGGTACAAGCCATTGTGGTACATTTTCTTACATGTTTACAATTAATTTTAAATAGTAAACCTGTTTATTGGGTAGTTATCGGCATTCAGTTTTCTATCCTTACTTGTGTTTATCGAATGTAAGTAACCCTTTCAAATATGTGTTATTAATTTTTTTTTTTAAATTTTAGAATGTTTTGGTAACATGAGAATTATGCAATGCAATGTCAAGCCTCCACGATAAGAGGTTATGATGTACTTCTTTCATTATGGCTGCCTTAGACATTCATTTAATTAGTCCCAAGCAAGTACCTTCTCATATATTGCTTTAAAAAATTATGTATGGGTGGTGTTCTCTTCCAACCTAGCAGTAAGGAATGCAAACCACAGTGACAGTTAAAAAAAACTGCTTATTTTTTTATGTTCCACCGGTGTATTTTAACTTTCAACTGTCATATTGTTGAGATATGCTAAAACTGTGTTGAATAATCTCATTTAATAATTTCCTGATATTTTAAGAATATTTAATTATTGACTTTATTTTATAAGATTTGCTTTTTTGTAAAAGTCCCAGCTTTAATACTTTAAATATGCAATTTTTGTTTTTTAATTTTATGTTTGGTTAAGACGCAAAGACAGCATAATGATTGGGTAGATTTATTTAAGAATTATTTTGTAAATGGTGGATTGAAACAAATAGATTAGTTAATGTTATTTGATAAAACAATTTAATGCACTTCCTCATTTTGTAAACTTGATGTTTAACAGTGACGTCACTTGGTCAGGGGCCACAATTTTGCATTTTCAGTTCAGTGTCACCACTACCCTTCTATTATTTTTGTCATCCTAACTGGATAAATCATTGTTGAGACAGTTAATTTTACAAATGGTGTCACCCGCTGCTAACAGCACCCTCTACCCCCTGCTTGTGGCGCCACTTAGTTAAAAACAGCTTTTTTTATTGTTACAGTTATTATAAAACAAATATCACAAACATAAATCATTAAGTAATATTATCTTGCTATCAGGCACTTATATATTTTAACTTCATTCATTTTATTTTAAACAATGGAACTATTACTAGAAAATTTCACTTATTCCTTCTATACAAATATATACTGATCTTGCATCAGTTATAAGTGTTCTCTCATAAACAATAAGTATCTGTATTATAATTTTGTAGTGCTTTAAAATGTATGCTTTTTAGGGTTCATTTGTTACTTCATAACTAACCCCTTAAATAGTGTATTATAGGTCTTGAATGTAAATAATGTACAAATAATTTCAATTTTAAATATCGCATGGAATTTATTAACATGATTTGCTGATAATAAAGTACTGTACTCATGCATTTTTATAGCAGTGTTGTTGGCTTTATTAAGAACTTGTTGCGCTGGTGGCAAACATTGATCAAGCTTTACACACACATGGCTGTTAAGGCATAGAGTTGTGCCCATAAGGCCCCCATGAGCTTAGGAAACATATCCATATCAATCAAATAAACATAACTCACTTTAGTTTTTACTTCAGCACCCACTGCTTTGTTTTTAATCAATAAAAGCTTGCAAGCTCAAGGTCATCAGAATGTAAATTTCATTAATAAAATGTAGGGAAAGTGGGAGGGGGACAACAATATTGTTCAAGGCTTGGATAGGGGAGATAATATTGATGCTTAGGGATCATCTATAAATGATTTCACAAAGCTATCATCAGGATGGGGAGATGAAGGGTTCTGTCTTCTGTGACAATGTGGTGTTACACAGTATAAGGCATTTAGATACACACACACACAGGTAATGATAATGAAGAATATTTAAATTCTGATTATTCTTGAGGGTATGGGTGGTGGGCAAAGAATGGTGGGTTTTGATCTCTTTGGTGTCAATTACGAAAATAGTTTTAGAGAGGGTGGCTTTTGGATTTGGCTAGTATGATGTCAAATTGACAGTATAGAGTACTATAGTATAGTAAAAAGAGGTAATCATGTTCTTTTCGAACCTTTACGTGACGTCATTTATGGTCAAAAGATCTCGGAAAAATGGTTTTCGGATTTCCTTCTTACGTAAATATACAATGAGGACATTTTATTAATACACATTTTAATATTTGAAATTGCATTTAAATAGATTGCAAATAATAGTGTGAATGAGTACAATGCCATGTAGGCCTACCGTGCTGTGGTACTACTCATGGCGGGGGTTGGGGGGGGGTCAGTCGGAAGCACTTAAAAAAATGGGAACAATATAAACTACTCTAATCTGAATTTAAGAAGAGACATTAGCTTTTAATTTTACTTTTAGATTTTACTTTTATATTTTGAATGTTTTGAGCCTATAATTTTTAAAAATTTAATTAAAAAAGTTTAAATAAATGGACAGCGAAAAGGCTCATTGTGTAAAAAGGGGCATAACTTTCATGTTTATACAGATAGCAAATGATAGTGAATACCCCATGAAAATAATCGCGGAAATGGCTGAAAGATGTAAAATATAAACAAGGTCAGCTTATGTATAAATGTTAAAATTACATTTCTTTAAGTTATATAAATAATATATGTTGTGTTACTGTAGTTGTTATCAACAATAAATTTAAACTTTACGATAGAGTTAGTTGGTTCAGTCATTAGTGCGTGTGTTCCGACCTAATCTCAATACTCAATAAATTAATTTTAAAAGGCGGCCAATGATTTTTTTATGAACTGAAATTGAACTGACATACACGCCATACGACAGTTAGTTAGAATAGTTAGGCTAATAGATAGATCTAGATCTAGATCTAGTAGTAACTAAGCTAGATCTAGTAGTCTATATATTCTATATTCGTTCTAAGTTCTAGATCTAGATCTAGTTTGGCGTACTCAGCCGCATTTTTTGTAAAGCTGGTTTTTCGGTAATCTATCGTTCGTTTTGGGTACGTAAAATCGCCCGCGGCTATTAATGTACGAAACCGTTACCTCATTGTCAAGGCTTTAATAAAAGTACTAGATCTATATTGTGATATGTTTGTGTCAAATATTAGGCCCCTATAGATAAATGAATACTAAACCTAAATCGATGGCTAAATATATCAATATATATATAGGCCAGAAATTAACTTTAAACAGCAGTGTCTGCGAGCAAGATTTGCTATATATATTGTTACGACCACCTGGTGTTTGACCTGGGCTGACCCGTATGTTGGGGTAGCGATCTCACGCTCATCCATCAACATGGCGGTGGTTAGAGACTGACCAGTGCTGGCAGTGAGAACCTTTGGGCCGTGACGGCCACACCGGATTGGGTACCACGCTGTGGGCGGTGCATACCTGGTGTCTTGGGGTCCTAGCCATTAACGTGGCCAAGAACTCGTGATTTACGGCTGGGAAAACCTTCCAGATCGCACAGGGCCGAGTGGACGGTCATGGACGGATCTGACCTGGGGTCAGCTATAATTAAAATCGTTCCCACGGTGAAGAACAGGGGGACGAGTACTTTAGGAGGGTAGACGGACTCGACACTCGGGACACACACACGGAGACGGACGGACGTCTCGGATAGCTAGGTCTAGAGGAGACAGACATGGGTCGTCTCTTCGAGCTAGTGGAAAGCCACGACATGTATTAGACTTAGGCTAGGCTTGACAGTTAGGGACAAGTAGGGCAGTCGAATTAAGGACTATAGTTGTTGTAGATAGTTGTGTATTTTTCTTCTTGTGTTCCATGTGGTGGCGGGTTAATGTTAGATGTTGTATTTTGTGGCGAATAAATAGAGATTACTGAAGTTGGCTTTTATTTATTTTTATTTTCTTCTTCTTGTTTACGATCCCCTGACTAGTTCGAAAGGATTAGAGAAGGGGGTACGTAACAATATAAATTAATATTATAAACAGCAGCCATTTGTAAAATAGAGTGACTTCCCCCTGAATCTCGCGCTATAAGTTTATAAAAATAAAACTTAAACAAGATGGCTGCTATAGTAAATGAGCATGGTTGCATCTGTTGGAAACATCGCTAGTCTTCATTTATTACTGAAAAGTTTTAATTCAATTGTTTAAAAACAGGTACATAAATGAAACAAGGAAACATTTTTGTATTTTAAAAAAACATAAATCCTCCTCAAAATGTGAAATAATTATTAAAATTTAAGGAGTCACCTGTTTTTCACATTTCAAGTCGCGGGCGATTTTACGTACCCAAAATGATAGATTACCGGTTTTTCTTTGGTTTCGGCTTTTATTATTAGACTATTAGATTTATTATTAGAAGTACAGTTTTAGTACAGAGTCACAGACTCAGTCATCACAGACTCAAAAGTCAAAAGAAGACACAGAGTGATGAGAGTGACTGAGACAAACAATAGACTGAAAAGACAACTGAGAAATTGATTGGTAGACCCCATTTTTAAACTTACAGTAAAACAATAAAATATTATCATATGTTTATATGTTTTCATTTCCCTGGTTTCACAACTAGATCTAGTTAACTTAAAATCATGTACTGGTAGTGGAAAATGCAATACTGAAGACCGAAGTAATGACTCAGCTTCAATAAAAACCCAGAAATCAGTCAAAAAAAAAACCCAAAAAATGTGCAGTGATTATGTTGAGTTTATTTTGGTTTTAAAAAGGCCTTTATAGGTCGTCCATAAATGACGTCATACTCGTAGTGGGGAGGGGGGGGGGGGGGGGGTTCAGATGGTGTGACGTTACACTTTTGCATTATCAAAGAGCAATGTTAGAAAACGAATTTTAGACGTTTTGCGTTTTAGATAACTGTTTTAATAGGTTGTAATAGGAATTGATTAAAATACTCATTTTGACAGAGTTGAGACAAGATTTTGGAAAAATATAGATGTTTAAAAAAAAATTCAACTGCAATTTTGAGGGGGGTTGTAGGCTGAGGTGTGACGTCATTTTAGGGGGGGGTCTGGCTTTTTGGGACGTGTGACGGAGGGGAGGGGGGGGGGATGTAAAAATCATCAAAAAAAGCGTGATGTCATTTATGGATGACCCCTAAGTGTTTGCAATAAAAATTATAAAAGTATATAAATTATGTTTTATGAATTATTTTAATTTTGTTTTAATCTTTCAATTTTTCAGAAAAAATAGCAAGAACAATACCACAAGAATGTTCCACCCACAGTTCCCAAATTTATCAACCTGGATTTAAAAGGTCATTGTTATGTTTGATCTGCTTAGTAAAAAAGATGGCTTTAAACGACTTTGAAGTAGACTTAAATTATAATGAAGTGAGTGATGACGATGCACCATTTATTATAAGCTATGATGAAATTCTTCCAGACAGTAGTGAAATATTACAAGATTGTAATACTAGTGAACTTCTTCAGTTTAGTAATGAGAATGAATCTACATTACTTGGGCCATCGTATTTGCTAAATGAATATGCAGCTCTAGTTAATCACACTGAACCAGCTCAGTGTCCTTCAATAACTGTGTCATGGGAAAACAATACCATCTGTGTTGACACCACCTCCATCTGTGTTGACACCACCTCTAGCTCACAACTATCAGAGGTGAATAAGAAACAAAAAAATAAAAATCCCAAGAAATTAAAAATGACGTCCCAAACCACAGTTGATGCAGTTTCAAGTCCACAGCCGTCACAGTTAAATAAAAAACAAAAAAAGAAAAATCCGAAGAAACTAAATACGACAACCCAAACCACAGTTGATGCAGCTTCCAGTCCACAGCCGTCACAGTTAAATAAGAAACAAAAAAAGAAAAATCCAACGAAATTAAAAATGACTGCCCATACGACAGTTGATGTAGTTTCAAGTCCACAAACTTCACGATTAAAAAAGAAACAAAATAACAAAACCCAAAAACAATTAGAATCTACTAGCAATGTGTTATCAAGTGAAGAGAAAATTAATAAGCAGCAAATTTTTTTGGACATTGAGCATGACAGTACAATTAAAATAACAAAATTAAGCGAAGATACTTGTAAAAATAATTTATCCCAAAGCATTCCTTCTGCTGAGTCCACTACCATTCCTTTTCTTCAAACAAAAAACCAGCCTCATCTGCCCTATACATCTGAGCCAGTGGAATCTCTGCCACCTTCAACTGTAGCTTTGCTTTCTGTAATGACAGACGTTGTCAACTCACCAAAATATTCTACCGTCCAATCACTTAATGCTCTACTCTCATCAAACAACCAAGTATTTCCAAAGCGCAAATCATGGCCACTTCTCATGAAGATGATCTCTAAACCTGTATCAGAATCCCTCAGCGTTTCCCCAGTCAATGAAGATAAGCTTAAGCCTGTTGTGATTAACGAGTTGAAGTTAAAAAAAGAAATAAAATGTGAATGTACTTTCAACAACGGGGACCCTTGTTGGCTGCTGTTCAATGAAGAGAAGCTGAGAAACGAACGGCTGCATCATCTGAAAATGAACCGAGAGTGTCTGGACCGGGTTATCCTAACCCACATTGCTGCTAATATCAGCAGAGATGAGAAAACAAAGAAAAAATCAGAAAAACAAAGACAAAGACATAGGTTGTATTATTTATACGAAGGGAAGAAAATATGCAGAGAAACATTCCTTTTCATTCACGGCATCTGCAAAGGCCGTCTTTCTGCTCTGATTCAGCACTACAAGCAGCAAGGACTTAGTGCGCGAGTACACGGAAATAAAAGCAATGTCCCCCATCATGCCCTGAGTCTCAATGACAACCAGAGGGTTTTAGATTTTATTCAAGACTACGCAAGCAGCCATCATGTACCGGCTGAGGGAGAAGGGTCTGGGAAAAAATCTGGCGGTGAACTTTTAATATTGCCCCCATCCCACTCCAAGCTTTTTGTCCATTACCAGTACAAAACCTGGTGTGGTAAAAACAACCATCGTGCTGTTTCTGTTAGATCATTCCAGAATCTTTGGACAAAGCATTTACCTAATGTTGTTGTGCTCAGGGGGAGTAAAAAAAAGCAAAAAGCAGAGGAAGGAGTTGAGGGAACTGTTGATAATAATACTGAGAAAAATGACTTGAACTTGGCAACACAAACCGAAGACATTGATTCTATGCCTCATTCATATCCAGAATTAGTGCTGGAGTTTTCAAAACCGTCAACTGATAACGAAAATGAAGTTAGTGATTTCGACAAGAGCTTAAAAGAAGATGCAGATTTTGATGTTTGGAACAAGTCTAAGAGGAAACGTAAAGCCTTGCTTCCTCGAAAAGTAGAGACTCTCACAGGTCTCCCCTCATCTGCCACTGACAGTTTCTTTGACACGGCGCTAGATGACACGCGGCTGTCATCAAATTCGTCCAGCAGCATCACCAGCATGCTTGAGATCATCAGCGGCAACCACAGTGTGGATAACTGTGACAGCGAACTGTTCAGCCATGACTCTCAGCTCTCAGCTTCGTATTTCTCTAAACACCACAGCCGACTGTCCTCAGACCCAATGCTGATTGATGGAAGTAAAGATTCCAGAAATTCTTTTCACAAGGCAAAGAAGAGAATGCATCATTTGAGTTGTACATCAAACAGCAACAGCATGATGGATAACCATTCGCTTCACCATTCTGATAAGCTGGACAGTTGTTTGAATGACCAGTCCCTAATCACTGACAAGGACTTTGGCAGTATGACACAGCTATTGGACTGGCAGTCTTGGCAGTCAGGGGGCTCTTTGTTGATCTAAATACGTGACTGTTGTTTATTGTTGATCTAAACATTTTATTGTTGATCTAAACATTTTATTGTTGATCTAAATATTTTATGCTGAAAATGTTTATTTTAAGGTTATGGTTTTAGATCTTGTATATTTCAAATTTTTTGCATAGTAAATGTGTTTTCCACTTATCAAAATCATTACATATACAGAAAAATTCTGAACAGAAAAATTTGACAAGTTAAGTAAAATAAACACAATTCCTCAACATATTGTTCAACACATTTCTTCAACAAAATGCCTGTATAATTCCCCAAAGTTTACCAGTATTAATTATGATATTTTAGTTTAATGACAGTGTGGCTGAATGGAAGAGCTTATGACTTCTAACCCAAAAGTCTCAAGTTCGGATCCCTGTATGATGTCCTTGAGTACACATAGACCTTACGGGTATCTAACATGCATTAGGAAAACTGAAGTGGTTGAGTTGTGCTGACCACATTACATCCTGTATGCCAAGGCTATTGAAACAGATGAACTCTACTTCATCTGCCTTATGTGTCTGGGCATAAATGGGAAAAGATGATGATTTCAGTCTAGATTGTAACTGACCAAGTTAACTGAGGCATGATCCAACGTATTATGTTTGAGCATTTTACAAGTAGTTAGTTGTGCAGAAAAAATCATGAGCAATGTAGACATAAGAAATGTGAAAGCAGAATGTGATGTAAACATGGTTTGAATGTTTTAAATATATCATCAGCATTTTATATAAATTGTGTGATTGTTTCATTTCCTTTCACTTTCATCTAAAAAAAAAATAGATCTATGAGTTCTGTTGAAATCTATTGTATCCATAGCAAATAAAAAATGGTTGGGCATTTTATTTCATTATTGCAATTTCTGTTGTTTGATCTTGTTGAGTTGATGTGTAAATATTAAAATGAAAGTTGAGAAATGTTGATGGTATTTTGTTCTTGAACTGCCAAGTTTTCCATTATGAAAATTAAAACAACTGTATATTTCTTAATAAAACTTTTAAAAACCTTTCACTTCTTTGCTAGTATTATTTTTTGTTGAGTGTTTAAAACATTGTAATGTAAGTTCTTTTGAAACAAAGCATTAGCTTCAAACTAGCACTGTATTGGACAGTCTCTTCACAGTTTTATTATCCATTTAGTTCAGCACTTTCCTGTAAGAAAATGTCAAGGCACTTCAAAACATGAACAATGTGCGAATATCATTTTCATGTTCCACTACTTCCTTACTTATGCAAGAAAAGCGGATTGGACAATAATTATGTCACACTCCTGGAAGGAGGGAGAGTTGGACTTATGCTACGGGGAGGGGGGGGGGGGGCCGGGCAGAGTTTCTTCCAGGCATCTCTTTGGGGGGGCAAAGCCCCCCCGAAAAATTTTTACGGCCCCCCCCCCCCCCAAACAAAATGAAATTTATATAATTCATATAGAAAATATATACTTTTAAGTGTCCACCCCCCGAAGAAAGTTTACCGCCCCCCCCCCCCCCCGAAAATTTAAAGTGCCCCCCCCCCTCCCGGAGAAAAAAATCTAGAAGAAACACGGGGGGGGGGGGGGGGGGGGCTTAAGAGAGAGTGATGCTATTGTTACACTTTTGCATTGTAAAAAGATGCAGCTTTCTTCAGTTTTCAAATTAATTTTTTTATAAAAACTGGTAATGTATATATGTATTTATATATATATATATATATATATATATATATATATATATATATATATATATATATACATATATAGTATATAGGCCTATAACCAAATCAAGGGCGTAAGACATGCTGTCATTTTTGACCCTATACGTTAAAATTGATGAATATAGACCCTAGATCTAGAAATCTATAGTTTAAACTTTAAAGTCTAAAACTTATCGCAAACCGAAAAAAAAGAACCCCATTTTTTATAGCTTAGGACTAGATCTAGATCTAGCCCATATTTATTTAATATATTAAATAGACTCAAATTAGAAGGCTTTTTAAAATTATTCTTTTATTTTGCCACGTTCTCCAGTTTTACTAATAATACCTTTACCTATTAACAAAAAACAACAACAAATCTTTGAGATTAATTTAATTAAAGCGAATAGGCTATAATAATTAATATAACGTTTTATCACTAAGCGATTTAGATCTAGATCTACGCGTTATGAAAAGTACACGATTATATTTGATCATTATTTTGACTTGGTTGTTCCCAAACCGCAGACCAGACCCAACCTCTCCACTTCTTTTCCCCCCCTCTGCCTCTCTGCAGCGACACCGCCGACTCGCGCGCCCGCCCTCTTTCCCCACCATTTTTCCTCCCCTTTCTTTTAAAAATATTTCTGATTACCTCCCTTTCCGCATCTAATCATTGGAACGAGAACAGGGGGGGTAGTCGGAGGAGTTTTATTTTTTGTTTAATTTATACTGAATCATTTTTCATGAATTTCAAACGCAGGTAAGTGTACAACTTTATGTATTGTTGTTTTAACCTTGTCATTAACATATTTCACATTAACTTAATATCTGCAGTATGCAGTAGTTTATAATTTATACATCCCCCTTCCCCCCGTACACACTGCAAAATACGATGTCGGCCATTTTCAACTATCGACAAGACGACACCTTCACTGCGATGTTGAAACCCAAATTTAGCATGGTATTTTGAAGCACATTGATGAAATACAACACAGCATCAATTTATATAGATATAGATTTATTTGAAATATTTGAAGTTGACGGATATGTAGCAATGTATAAATACAATTCAGCAAATTTCTTGACCTCAGCGGATACCCCCCAGCGACATCACTTGTGACGTATTACAAGGGGCATAACCAAGTTAATTCATACATTTCTAAAATGTACCCCAGTCATTTCACCTGAATTATTTAGGCCTACTTCTCAAGGCTGTATCTAGATCTATATTCAAGACAAGATCTATAGCCCTAATGTCCTATTAAATATAAATTTAAAAAGTTAGGCCTAGGCCTATACTTTTAAAATTTGTATATTATGTTAGCATATTAATGATTTTTCTAACAATTTTGAAATAGCATCAAAGCCACACTTACTTTCCTTTTTTTACACTACTTTTACTGTTCACTTACATAAGTTAAAATTAAAATGAATGTGCTAATATTTTGTAAAAAAAAACAACAACTAATTCTAATAAGTAGTAATGGGGGAATAATGGTAAGTTTTTATCTCAAAAGTACCCATTATTTAGAAAAAAACAACAACTAATAGGATAATATTATGTTAAAGGAATACCTTTTCAAAATGAATGGATAAATAAAATAATATTAAATAGTTGTGGCTAAATAATTCTTTATTGTATTTAGCTACACTGTAATGTAAGCATTACAACTACTGAGTCCGACTGATAGGTTTACTTATTATAGAACATGCCTTGGCTATTTTTCTTTAAAAAAAGTGATACTGATGTTTATAAATGTCCTTTCTTTTTTTTTAAAATTCAAAACTCTGCTAAAAATCTTATTGGTTCATATGAGATTAAATATAATTGAAAATATCTTTATTGTAGAATAAAAAACTGTTAGATTGAAATTGAAAATAAATGTAAAATTGTAAAGAAAAAAAAAACAAAAAAATTAAGAGAAAAAAGTTCTAAACAATGATTGGAATGATTGTATTTTTTTAGAGTAATAACATTTTAAATTTGAAAGAGAATAATTTAGCTTCCATTAAGCATACAGTGACAGGCAATAGATATAACAAAAAGTGGAATCCTCAGTTATCATATTAATTTGACAGTAGATTTTATCATGCTTTGCAGAGATGTCCGATACAGAATGTGGCGCCATTTGTGTGCGCAAAGATGTAATGGACAAATTCAATATAATAATGGAGGAAACCAAGCTCGATGCTAACGAGCTAATGGAACATTTTTTTGGACTTTATAATTGGTAAATTTACTGAAACTTAAACATCAACATAATTCTCATAACTGCATAGTTTGTGTGTATGCGTGTGTGGATTTTTTTATTTTAATCAAGTTAAATGGATTTTTGTTTTGCGTTCTCTTTTAAAAAAATGTGATACCACTGTACCAATCTTGTACTAAAATTATAAGTGAACAGCATGACCATTTAAAAGTAAATTCAAATCTAAGAATAAAAAACTAACTTATGATTGAATGAGTAAATTTCTGAGTAGTAGCAGTTAAACGTACCTGATATGTTTATTTTATTCCATATTACTTGGAAACATGAGAATTAGTTTTCTTGTCTTGAAACCATATTTTCTTGGATATTCTAGTGTACATCTTCACGCTTTTAAATAGCTGCTAGTTAAATAAAAAAGCAAATTAACCACCAAGAAACTCACCCAATGCCATGCTCCGCTCTCATTTGTCCCTTACTTACAGATCTACTCAGGATGGAAAGTGATAGTTCTTCATTGGGTCTAAACTTAAGCCTCAAAAAGAAAAACATTGTAGCGAAGAGATCGAAATATTTTTTGTCAAAGTATTCTATTTTTTTGTTCTTATTTGTTTAACGTTGTGACTCATCATCTCACTGTGTTAATACTATCATTAACAATTGTAACACTAACCTCTTGCTTAAAGACGTTTAATAGTTTTAAAATCTCTGCCTCTGGGCCATCTCTTTTGAATCTTCTAGTTCAAGATTGAATTTTTTTGTAATGCAGTACTAATAAACAATTTTTTTGTCAAAATAATTCAGGTAGATTATTCACATTTAATTTAAATCATAATTTGAATATGTGCGCTTTATGCACTATTATTAAAGTTTTTCTAAAGTTAAATTATAATTTGAATAGATATGCTTCACATTCTATTATTTAAGAGTTTCTTCTTCAAAAGAGCTTGTCAGGGGCAGATAATTTCTATAAACATTAAATGTTAATTCAGCAAAAACAGTTGTTTAAAAAACTTGCATGTATTTACGTAAGTTTTATGAATGAGATAACCTATTGCTTATTCTGCAGCTGTGTGAAGCTGGTACACCCAAACAAAACAGCCATGGCCCAGAATGCAGCTGAAGGGTTAACAGCTCAACTTGCTCAGGCTCAGATGGTACAACAGCTGCAGCAGCAACAACAACATAGACAAATGTAATTATAGTTTCACAGACTCGTTAGTTAAGCTGACTCAGCTATTTAGCTAATGGCTTCTATTGAAGTGTTCCAGCATGTCAGATTTTGGTGTGTCATTTTAGGGATAAAAAAATGTGTAGATGTTGTTTAAATAAATAGTCGTTCTTGATTTTATAAAATGGGAGGACAATAAAGGGTTATCCCCGATCTATTTATTATAGTGCTTTATTACATGTTATCTTTGTGTCTATGTTATATTTTAAATTGAACTTATTTGACATCTGCTGCTATATAAAATATACACAAAAAAACATCAATTAGAAGCAAATTTAAAATAGAACGAACTGGTCAATAGGTGACTTAAAGTTCACCTATTTCTGCATATAAAACAATATTGTGGTCAGTTTTTGGCCTTGTTGCCTTTCCCATCTATACCCATCTCTATCAACGTATCTTGCTGATGAGATTAGTATATTTTACTCTTTATTCCTATTATAAGTATGGATCTTAGTAGTGTCTTTTTAATTGACTTTCAGCTCATCTGAAGTTAAAACAGAAAATGATGACTTCATCCCTGTGGGCATGACCTACAACAACAGTAACATGAACAATAATATGGCAGACAGCAGTAGCAGTAGCAAGAACTCTTCAATCAGTGAGAATGAGGAAGTTACTTGCATAGGGGTCACCCAAATCGGTGCAGATTGTAGTGTGGAGGATAAGGTTGGTATATTTAAGCCTGACTAGACAAATTCTGTAGCTAAATTCTATATCAGTTAATGGGTTTATCTAAACATTATTGCGAAATTCTCAGCAAAAAAATTGTACGATAAGTTGTGATACTTTGTTTCATTTATGTACCTGGCAATGAACTGTAAACTTGCAGTATTAGACTGCTATTGGCAAAAACACAGTGTTTGAAGCATTAACTTTTGTGTGAAATTTTATTATTTCCACATCATATCTCCATGCAATTTATTTTCCTTCCACGTGTTACAAATTATCTTAACAGTTTGATAATAGTGATAAATATGTTGTCAGCCTGTCCAGTGGTTAAAGTGATATCCCATCTTCCTCAGGTTCATCTCCTACAAAGATTAAGAGATCAGGCCAATGCTGCTAATTTTAACAGCAGCAACAATGGCCAGCATGGTGGCAGTTACCAACATTTTAACACTTTTTCTGGTGAGTTTTGACGTGGGGATTTTGGGAAATACACTGCCATCAATTTAAATGAAAACATATATATGATGCTGCAAAAAATTTGACCTAAACAGTTCTATTGTTATTTGAAGATAGACTTTCTATAAGTTTATGATGTTAATTGAAAAAGATGAAACTTTTAAAATTAAAAAAAATGAATTCCTCTTTCCCATTAATGAAAACATTTCATCAAAACTTGAGACAACATTGAGAATTGTTTAAAAACTTTTACTTTTTTAATATTTCCCATTGAAATTCTAGTGATCAATTGAGATATACTTGAATAATTTATGGAAACCTTGATTATCACCCTTTCCCAGTTCAAGTGGTCGGTTACATATATTTTAATATCAAGATAAAAGAATATGGAACCTGCTACCTGTTAATGTTTTTACTTAGATTTGTTCTCAACAAGAAAACTTTTTCAGGTTCAAACATGGGCCCACCATCCATGGTACCTTTGTCAGGTCCTGGAAACTACTCTGGGGATTCTGGGGTCCCCAGGAAACGCAAGAAGAAACCAAAGAAAGCCAAACTTCTGTCTTCACCTGCCCAGGCAGCCTCACTGACGGAAGGTGAAGGTGAGTAAATACATTGAGATTGTCTAAACATTGATAATATGGGAGGTTGTGGCCTAGCGGTAGAGAGCTAGACTGCTAACCTGAGAGTCTCGAGTTTGAATCAGGGTTCAAATCAGTGGAACGTTCTTGAGTCCACCTAGCTCTGATGGGTACCTAACCTATGTTAGGGAAAACAAAAGCGGCTGGGCATAGTGCTGACCACACTATCCCTTCATATGCCGTGGTCAATGAATCAGATGAACTCTGCTTCATCTGCCTCATGTGTCTTGGGCACAAACGGGATTAAGAAGTGAAGAACCATTGATAATGATGTTTATTTATACTAGTTGATTTGTTTTTCTCTAACTGGAAATGGGTATATAATTTTAAAACTTTAGCTTATTGTAGCTATTTTATCTTTATGTTAGTTAAATTATCTAAGAATAGGTGTTTAAGGTATGCTTGTTTATCCCTGAAGTAGACAATATTTATATGATAAACATGAATACTTAGAAGGTTGGACTAAACTAACACTTGATGTGTAGTCAGTTTTTTGCACCATTTTATTTTGATTAATTTTCTTTTAACCATTAATGTCCCATTCATTCTACCAAAACTCCACCCATGACGGCCCAATGTAAGGAGCATAACTCTGTATGATCAAGTGAATAGTTTCACAAAATATTTGTTTTTGTCTAAATGAAATTGAAAATTAAGATAAAAAGTACTGCTTAATGTTGGGAATAAACCTGGCTTTCCAACAGTATTAAATAGAATATATTATATTCGGTACAAGTACAGTATAAAAATAAAAAATGTCGGAGAAAATTCAAAACAGGTCATTTTCGGTAGTCAACTTTATTTATTTTTGTCTAAACAACTATGCATCGAATTTAACAGTTAAATATCAATTTGGTTATGTTTAACATATATAATTCATAAAATACATGCCTAGATACGTTTAGAGGCATTAATTTTTTTTATTTTTAATATTAAATCTACTAAAAATACGACAGATGAGTCGAAAATTTCGAGATAGAAAGAAACTATTATTTTTATCTTTCAAAAGCGCCATTGAAATTAGAAGACCGGAAAAGGATGCTGAAACCATCCGACTTCCTGTTTAGTTAAAAATTAGGATTTTTAGGCCAAATTTTAATGAAACAAATTTAATTTTTCTATGCGTATTGTAAGCGGGCGGCAGCGGGCGTTACGGGACATTAACGGTGTCGGGCGGCAGCGGGCGTTACGGGACATTAATGGTTAATGTATTTGAAAGACTCTGAACATTTTCCATTCCCAGATCTATTGAAAAGCTCCATGTGTTCATTATGCCAGGCAGTGTTTGCCCGGTTCACTGACCTGCTGGCCCACCACAAGGCTGTCCACAACTCGGACACCAACCACCCCCTCAGGTGTCGGGCCTGTGGGAGGACGCAGACCTCCGAGGCTGGTTTGATCTACCACCAGGTGTACGTCTGCAAGATGGTGGAGCGGCCTCACCCCTGCCATATATGTGGCCTCAAGTTCCAGAGCGAAGAGATGGTGCTGGTCCACAAGTGCAGTGGCTGTCCTCGTAAGAAGTACGCGTGTGAGTTCTGCGACCATTACCGTACAGAGTCCTCTAGCGATCTAGAAAAGCACATGCGTATTCACACGAATGATAAGTGTTATGTTTGCAGGGTGTGTGGCTTCTCCACCGCCTGGAAAAAAAATCTGAAAGAGCATATGGTAAAGCATTTAGGCTTGAAGCCGTACGTGTGCGACTTGTGCGGGTACAGCACCTCAGATAGACATAACCTTAGGGCTCATCGCCTGAAGCACTATCAAAAAGGTGAGGGTTGTGAGAAGTGCGGGGGCGAGTGCCACTGCAAACCTCTGGCTATAAAGAAGAGGAAGATGAGCAGTGGCAGCGCTGGGGATGGCAGCAGTAGTCCTGGGTCTGCCGGGGGTAAGGAGCTGGAGTGCCCCTACCCCCAGTGCGTGTACCGCACTAAGCTGGAGTACATGATGGCCAACCATATGTTGCGGCATCAGGGTATGGCTGACCACATGGGCAACTCTGCAAACAACACCAGCGGTGGCAGTAACAACAGTGGCGGAGGGAGTTACCCCAACAACCAGCACAGCCAGGACCAGAATAAGAGCTCGCACCATCGGGGTCAGGGGGTCATGACCAACAGCGGTCAGTACGGAGGGGGTGGTCATCATAACGCCTCATCTCCTGCTTCCTCCATACCATCATCTTCCCTCCCTCCCACATCATCAATCCCATCATCCCAAAGCAATCCCCCAACACTGATATCCTCCCAGGGGAACCAGATCCCGCTGGAGTGGAAAGCTATCGGGCAGGGCCCACCACCTGGTGTTTGTGGAGTCCTCTCCCCACCCACCCACTTTTCAACCCTTGTTCATCACCAGCAAGGGGCCCTAACTCCCCAGTCCATGAGCGCGTGGGCATCACCCCTCTCACCCCCCACTGTACCACCAGGACTTCTGGCCAACAGAGTCAATGTTCAAATGGCCGGCCAAAACATGGTCGCCCGTCCCATGCCTGTATTCCCTAACATGCCTAACTGACTACATCTCTAAGAAACCACGCCATTTCATATAATTATCATATGTGGTGTGTACTCATTTAAATCTTCCATTCTTTGTCATTTTTTTGTACAATTTCCTTGTAGTTAAATGTTTTCAATTACATTTTTAAAAAAAAATGAGTGTTTGTGAATAAGGTATGCATTTTTTTTTTTATTTTGACTTTTCAAGACAAATTTTTAAAGAAACATGTTGTTTCTAAAAATGATGGTGTATCTGTATATTGAAAATGTTACTGCTTTAAAAATATAATCACAAATGTGTGCTTAAGTTCATTGAATAATTAAATTTTATTTCATATTTTCTGCTTTTATACATATGAGTCTAATTGTTATAATTGAACAAGCTCTTAGAAGTTGGCAATAAGACTTCATTAAAACAAGAAATAATAATTTGCTATTTTGTAAATTAATTTTTTTAATTACTTTGGAGAATAAATGACAACTGGTTTCTGTATTGATGCCAGTACAATTTTACAAAATTAAATTTTGTAAATGGTTTTTGTAAAGAAATATTTTGTAATTTATAAAATGAAAATACCAAAGCACCAAATACTTGATTAGATTACACTGAGTTAAACACCTTTGATCCTTGGGGCTGAAGGGTGTGACAGTGTAATTGATCATTTATAAGGGAAGTTGTTTTGTTTTCGCTATACAATAGTGTGTGCTTTTGTATTTCTTTTTTAAAACATTAGCTCAGGTGGATGTTTTTTGACTGTTAAAAATAACTTTAATGAAAACATTACTTCAGTTGTGAAGAGTTCTTTTAAGATTTTATTTTAATTTTTTTTTAAGATGTTGGCCTATATTGAATGACATGCAGGTTTGATAACTGTCCATATACAGAATGATCTGTAAAAGAAATTTTGTGTTGGTTCTATCCCTTGAGTTCTCTGTAACAAGTCATCAGCAATAAAAGCTTTGTTTTTTATTAATTCTAATGTGGACATAATTTAGTGAACCTGCACATCAAATATATATTGTCAGCATTGCTTTTGTTTAATGTCTCATTTAACATTTAATACTGTTTCAGGATACATTTGTCCATTGCAAAAAAAAAAAACTCCTCTACATTTGCATATGATTGTAGCATTTTTTATTTAATTTTACTGTTTTACAAATATCTAATTTTGGGAGAAATGATTTAATTATGATTGTTTAATATATGTATACACATATATTTTATATTTGTATATATCTTGACATTTTTGTGTATAAACCTTATATTTGTGTAGATTTTAAAATGTTGTGGTTTGTAAAAAAAATGCAGAAAAAATGTATGATTGTTGGCCTCTGTTTTTAGCCACAGTTTTTAAATCATCCCAAAAAGATGAATAAAAGAATCTCAAAAAGTTTTTTTTTCATTTGAAAACATTTAGTCCACACCTGAATCAAAGAAAAAAGAAATTGTAAAGTTTTACATTTTTTGTTGTTGCCAACAGCTTTAGAATTTTTTTTAAGGTATTACATCGGCAGTCACATATGCATTAATTTTAGCACCTTGACAGCACATATGTACAAATGTTTATACAAACAGGTGATAAACTAATTCTACATACAATTTGTCAGTGTTGGGCATGAAGGTAACAATCTGATAAGTACATTCATTTTGAACATGTAACAAAAACTTAATTTGATCATATTATCTTTTTATAAAAAAAAAAAAATTGAATGTATATTTATTTGTTTTTGTAAAGCTAAAATTTTGTCTATGTAGAAAATTTTAATCTCTGCAATAAATATTCTCCAAAATTCTCAGACTTGGTTTGGTTGATTCCTAGTTAGCTGGGCGAGTGATGTTAATTTTAGTTTCATTTCTTGTGATGTGTTTTAAAACAATTTGTTTGTGGTAAAATTTTAAGTACTAAGTTGAGACATTTTTTTTTTGGTTTTTATACGTTGTCTAATTAAATAGTCTATTTTTGTTTGTTTGTATTTGATTTACAATGCCTGTTCAGTTGTTAAATTCATATTAGCATAGAATGAGTAACCTACTGGGTTTTAAACATGATGAATGGAGTTGAAGATGCTGAAATGAAACCTTTCCTGCAAGTTCACCTTGTATCCTTGAAGGGGATTTCAATTAAGGATTCCTTGTCAACAAAAATGAGCAATATGACCCGTTAATTTCGACTTCAACTTGTTTTTCCTTCTGGATTTGCTCCCATGGCATTTTCCACCCAAGAATAATCTGCGAGGTATCGGTTGCTTTTTTAAATTCGGAGTAGGCTCTCGTAGATCAGATTTCTGTTCTCATCTGCCCTGGGGTTTGAACTCTGGACCTCTGAAGTTAACATTATACTCTCAGCCCAGACCACATCGTCCTATTATAAACACATGGAGCAGCAGTAGTGCCTGTTACCATACAGGATAGTATATCAACATTAGATTACCAGGTAACTCCACCCTAAGCTGGCTAACGCAACACCTTTTTTCAATGGTAATATTAGTTTTGAGCCTGCTGTGCAGTTATTTTGTATAATACTTATATCCTTGTATAAGACAAATGTAATTTTTTTAGACAATTGGCTAAATGTAAATGTCTTTGTCTTGACTGTGAGCTGAGTTTAACAATTAATAAAAAATTTAATTAATATAAAACCTAAATAATAATGAGCTGGCATGGTCAAAGCCTGGAGACGGAGTCTTCTTGGTAAACAGCAAAAGTGGCAGTGGACAAAATGGAAGGTTATGGTTGAGGCCCTATGCTCCACAAGGAGTAAAGAGCATTAAGTCAAGTCATTGTCAGAGGATGAAGCATGACAGATAACCTGAACGTTGAGATGGATCTTGGGTTTGAGTCCATGGTGCGTTCTTGAGCCCACCCAGTTCAGCTGGGTACCTGACTCACATTGGAGAAAAAAAGCACTAAAGTACTTGGGCATAATACTGACCACACTTTCCCTTCATATGCTACCCATTCTGAACCAAGTTGAAAAGTGTAACTTTCACTACATTACTACATTATTATTGATGAGAAATAAATAGATAAATATTAAAGAAAGAAAAAAAAACCTGTTTTTAAAAATGTGTTTATTACTTTCATCATAGTATGTTTAAAAATGTCTGAACTTAGTCTATATCACACCACATAGTGTCCACATCTACTGACAGACAAGCAGACTGGTAGATTTACAAGCTAAGTCTGGTTTCATAATACACAATTCTGATTAAAAATGGTAATCAACTGACAGAATACACATGTTAATAAATTAGAAACTTAAATCCTGAACAAGAGAATTTTCTGTTTGTAAAAACAACCAACAGGATTTAATTTAATTTAATTTTTTGATCAAGTAGATTCTGTTTTTATAAAAAAAAAAACTTTTGCATTTAAAAATTGTTTCATATTTACATTTGATTCAACTTTTAAAACTGTAGCCTAACAGATGAAATAGATTCGATCACAGAGCAAACGGTTACAGAGATGGAATGATATGCTATCCTCGCTCTTCTTATAGTTTGTTGATATTTCCCTCCAATGGCATTATACATACATTTAAAAACAATAATTAATGGACATTAGTATATAAGTAATGCTGTACAAATAAAAAGCAAAATCTTCAGGTTTAAACTAAAGATCAGACTTAAAAATTGAGGAAAATTATGTTGAACTGTAAAAAGTAGTTTTAGAACAAATATTTTTTTGCTCAAACTAGATCTATACATTTCTTGGGTAAACCTACACATTTTGGTGTAAAAAAACACCACAGGAATAATTTATTCAGTCATATATAGGCAATATAATACATGACTTGATCATTGATTTTAAGCTAAATGAAGAATGATAAAAAATGAAGATGGTCCACAGATTTTATGAAGTCAGCAGCATTTTTACAATTATTACTAGGAAATAACTACCCTTTAATGAAACAATGCCAGGTTTTTAAAAACTTCATGTCTAAAGTTGTAAATGGTAGTCTAACTAAATCTTATAATTTAAGATTAATTAACTTATAAAATGGTTTGTTTAAAAAATGAAAATAAACCATAAGCAGTTTTGAAAAGGGGACATAATTGGAAATGTAATCTAATGGTTGGGTTTTATTCCCTAGTGGCGTATTCTCATCCCTATATAACATAAAAAAGTAGAAGTGGAAATAAAGTTAGATAACTCCGAAATGTAAGGTGTAGCCACTGAATAAATTATACAAATTTTCTAGGACTAAGCCTTATAAATGTTTTTTTTTAAAAACTAAATAACCTAGAAATATACAGATTCTTTAGGATTAAAAATACCGACCTACACTATAAAGTACTTTAAGGCTTACTGGCTAATTGCATGTTCACACTTTTAAAATCAGTAAGAAATGTTTTAACTTGACTAAATTAAATATTCTTATTTAATAGATTACATTTTAAATCAAGGAATCTTCTTAGTTTTTGGATTAAATTTTGTTTTAGTTGGGAAGGTACTATATAATGGTTTACAAATGTAAATATTTCAATTGGTACTGTCAAGCATACCCTTTGACAGATAGAAAGTGCTGCTTCACATATACTAATGAAAGCTTTGGTTTTGATTTGTTTCATTTTGATCAATACAAAAAAAAAAAACATGTTCAAAATAACTTTTAGGGCATGAGCAAGTGCTTGTAGGTTATCAACATACAAGGAAATACAAAGACAAAGCAATGGATGATTCAGTAGTTATTAGATAAACACTGGGCACTCTAGAACATCACACATCCTGGTCAGTGGTGGATCATGGGGGAGGCTGACTGGGCTTCAGGAAAGGGCCTCCAAATTTAGGGTAACCCAAAATGTTGTTGCTTAGCTATACAATTACTTAAGTAAAATCTGTGATATACTAATCACAAAATCCCCAAATCGTATGTGCACTAAAATGTTTTTTTTTAATGAATTAATATAATATAAATAAACCTTGTAATACAATCGTCACAAGGGGCCTTAATGACTACAGTCTGGGGTCCCATGACACAAATCCTGGTCACAGAATTCTCATTTAACACAAGATCTCATTAGAACAATCATAAAAGTGAGTTATATACCAATTGTTACTTCTCTTTGAAAATCAGGATTACTTTTTATATCTTTCAATAAAAGGAACAAACTAAACTATTGTTGAATATGATAAAAATAAGTTAAATACTCAATGTTACTACTCTTTGAAACCAGGATTACTTATTCTATCTTTCAATAAAAGGAACAAACTGTGGTTGAATATGATAAAAATAAGTTAAATACTCAATGTTACTACTCTTTGAAACCAGGATTACTTATTCTATCTTTCAATAAAAGCAACAAACTTGATGGTTGAATATAAGAATACACATCCTGCACCTTCAACATTACCTGAGCCATTTCCTTTATATTAGTTTACACAGTGCAAACAGTACTGCCATTTTATTACAACCTTTAGTACCAGAAGTTGACGATAATCCTAAAATAAACTTAATTGCATGTTGGCTTACATATAAATTACACTGATATTTTAATATAAGGAATAAATATAAAAAAACACTATAGGTGTGATTGAAAGATGTGATTTATTTTGTTATATTCTAGATAATCCATCAAGGACATGAAGACAATTGGATGATAAAATATATTTTTACACAGCGATGTTGATATTACATACAACTGGAATGGCTTAAAATTGTTTTTGTTTTTACTCATGTCATTGCTATACAGGACATTTGTCTATTCAAGTATAAACTAAAGACTTATCCATGTTTTAAAATTGTTAAAAATGTTTTAAAATTTAAGGGGTATAATATTGAAAAAAAATAAAACCCTCTCAATTAATGACTTAAGTAAGGTAAAAATAACCAGTTAAAATAAATTAATACAATATTCCAAGAGTATGATTAGTATGATTTTAGTTAAAATATTAATGTAGAAAGTAAATGAAGCCACAAATGACATTTCTACAAAAATGTTGTTTGGGAATTAAAAATTAAAACCAGACTGTTTAAAAAAGGTTTCCATAAAACAATTTTGTTTAAATATTTTAAACATTTCAAAGATTTAAACTTAAATCCTTAAAAATAAATCATTCACATAAATATATGCAGCGCCACTGGTTAATAATCAAGTAAAAAGTTATTTAGCATAAAATTAAAACATGGAAAACATTTGATAGTACCGAGCGACAATAAAACTTATTTTAAAAATAACGAATGCGGAGTCGAGAAAAAATGCTGGAAGCAATGCTAGGATATCACAATCAAAGTTGAAGACAGGGAAATGTGTGAAACAATTTACACAAAACATGAATTGAAAATTGAAACAACTTTTAAAAAAAGTGTTCCGCTGTAGCTCTATTCTACATGCAAGTAAGCAAATAAATACAGGATAGAACAGATGGCTTCACTTTTTAAAAGAATAAATGCCTTTCAGGCATACCCGGGGTTAAGTTAATCACACTTTCAAATACAAACTTGACAAACAACATTAATCTAGTAAGACAATCATTTGATTAGTTTAAAATGCATGCTAGAGTTTATACATTTTTTTCCAAAATTTTTTTTTTCTTGATCTAAAACAGAAGATCACTACCCAGATGAACAGCAAGCAGATTGATGACAACTGGGCAGGTCCAGGGGACTATTGATAATAGACCACTGTACCACAAGCCATTAATAACAAACCATTAATGACAAGCCATCACATGACAAATTATTAATAAAAAGCCATTAATGATAAGTCATTAATGATAATCCATTAATGACAAGCCATCAATGACTAACCATTAATAACAAACCATCAATGCTAGCCCATAGAAATCAAACCACAGCCCAAATAACACTGTCTGCTTTTACTACACAAAACTAAAAAGTACAGAACTGAAAGTCACTGGGTTTCACAAGTAATTATTTTTCAGAAGAAACCTATAAAAAATTCATAAAAAACGTTTTAATAACAAGCTTTTATGTAATGATGCACTAAAAAGTAGAAAATAAATTATAGACTACTATTTAAATAACTATAAAGAAAAGCGTGGGTCACTTTAGTATCTATTGGATACCTTTACTAATGTTAAGGAAGACACCCACGCTTTTCTTTATAGTTATTTAAATAGTAGTCTATAATTTATTTTCTACTTTTTAGTGCATCATTACATAAAAGCTTGTTATTAAAACGTTTTTTATGAATTTTTTTTTCAGTACTTTACATGTTTTATCTACAATAGAGTTACATGACTAAAAACCATTGCGCGCCTACTGAATATCACGTTCAGTAGGCGCGCAATGGTTTTTGAACGCAGCCATTACGTGGTCGTGATGGCGCAGCTATTGATGACGCGTGTGGTGTGGTTGGCTAGACATGCCTACTAATTCGGTCCAAATTTTAATTAATTAATAAAAAATTAATTAGGCATCCAATTAAGTCAAATTTAGTTTCAGATTGCATTGTCTTCATGTCTTGACCCACGTGCCAACTGTGAATCGTATCGGTCAAGTAGAACTGTCCGAATTTTCACTCCTGCGTTTCTATCTAGACTGACGACAGACAGAATGACGAGGAAGTGAGTTAAATAAAAGCTTGTAATAAAATAGATCAGTCTGGATAAACTGAAGCCTATCAACCCATCTTCAAAATTAGACTCTCAAAATAGAACAATATTTTGTTCTAAATTAAACAAATTGACTTAAGTAAAAAAAACATTCATCAATTACAGGAACTATAAAAAATATTCACGGAATGATTACTACAAATTCTGGTTCATATTTCCAATAAATAGAAAAAAAATGTTTAAAAATCTGTCAGAATTCATATACTGATATGGTGTTGTAATCATTTAAACTGTGTACATTCTAAACTAAGTAAAGTTTTTAAAACAGTATCTGGAGAATCTCTTGAAAGTTTCCTGGCACTATCAAGTTGATAAAGTTTGCTGTAAAAAGTTTTTGATTATATATTGTGTGGTTCATATGTATTACAACTGTATGAATGATTTTAAAAATATAAATATATACAAATACACAAAAGAGTTTCAGTTTTTTCCCAGTAGATAGTTTAAATAAAAAAAGATTATTAGTGGCTATACAGAGTAAATTAAAATACCCACAACCATTTCAATTGCATTTTATATAGTATATTAAAAGCATGATATTTACCATGGGGAATTTGACCAGGTTTTGCATTCTATAATCTTACTAAGATATAACTTTAAAATAAAAATTAGCTTACAATTATTTAATTAAACCTTGTAAAAGTAATTAAGTTTAAAATTTTTGTTTTTAAAAAACAGTAATACTTGTATTTTAATACTTAATATCTAAAAAACATATTTTGGTTAAAAAAAATGTCGATAAAACTTTGAACTTGAGAAATTCTATTTTATGGAGTGTATCTGTTGTTTACATTATAGATTTTATTCACGCTGGGGTCTTGTGTCACACAAATTCTGCGTCGTCGTCGACAGCTGAGAAAACAGATCTACCGGAGAGGGAAGACTGCGAGTTGGACAGATTTTCTTTGTCCTGAGATGAACCACGACTCAACCGGTCAACCCTTCGACCAATCAGCGTGGACCTTCCTGTCGTTAGGGGTGTGGCTAATTTGGGTACCGGCGTCTCCGATCTATTCTGGCTATCACCCGAGTCTGACTTCACCGACCAGGTCTGAGAAAGTTCCGGAACTTCATCGGCAGTGTCTGAGTAGAGGAACTCTGTGTATGCAATGTTGGAGCTGGATGTGCTGTTGGTCTTAGTGATTTTGTTGTCGGAGCTATAGCAATACACAGATGTGGAGTTTTTGTGAACCCCTAGGTCGTCCTCATACAATTCACTGCTACTCATTAACTTTGTGCTATACAGATTGGTCACTGATTTTGATCGGCTGTTTTTGGTCAGGCTCGAAGGGCCAGGAATACGGGTGGGGGTTTCTGAATTTTCATCTTTCCGGGGGCGTACTTTGAGGATTTCTTTGATTTTAGAAACCAGGGCTGTGGGGTTTTTAGCCATTTCAGCGCTAATGTCGTTAAGGGCATCGGAGGGGTGGGGGTCAGTGTCTGGAATGGTGGTTTGTCTACCTGGTGAGTACGTCCCATTCAGGCCGGAAGTTGGTGAGCTGGATAACTCAGCGGTGTCTTGAGGTTTCTGGAATGATCCCGGAACACTTGAAGATCTCTTGAACCTGTTGTCTTCAGGTTGACAAGCCCTGCCTGTGATGTTGCCGTGACCAGACGAGACATCCGAGGAAATGACGGACCCGCTGGACGTTCTCATAGAGGCTATAGAAGGTGAGGATCTAGCTTGACTAGATGCCTTCTTGTGTTTCCCGTCAGACTGCGGCTCTTCAGCTCCACCTGGCGTTTCATTAACAGATGCTCTTAGCTCTTTCTCTCGTAGTTTCTCAAACAATTTCTCCATCTTTCTGTACGTTTCAGGGTCTTCTGGAGGTGCTTCTAAAGACTCTGTGTCCACATGGACATATCCATTCTTTAACTCAGGCAGTATGGCTTTGATCTCATCAAGAGGTCTAGGTTCCAGTTCACTGGCTGGGATATCGCTGACCACTCCTTTATTTCTTTTTGCGCGTGGAGGCAGTTTTCTTTTCGTGTCAGACAATGTAGAGTCCACCCAGGCCTCCGTCCTGTCCCCCGTCTCACCCCCACTACCCGTACTTCTAACACTTCCGGTTTTCTGTCTGACCAGCGCAGAATCTGGCGTCTGAGAGCGTGATCGCACTTGACTAGAGCCATTCGGGTTGGTCGGTCTTCTGAAGACGTTCGCCTTTGGCGTCGAGTCGTATTTCACCTCACTTTTGTTCGTCACCTGAACACCATGAGACCCCGCGCCATCCCGGCGAATCATCAAAACCTCTTCATTGGGGACTTTATTCGCCTTGCGGTTCAGTTTCCTAGCGTCCACGCTAGAGGAACGCACACGTTTATTTAAAGCGTTGGCCCTGAAGGCTGTGCTGCGCACCAGTTCGTTGATCTCCTCGTCGTCAGAGAAGGTGATCTCGTTAGTGATGCTCATCGACGTTTCGGCGTAGGCGTTGAGAGAGGACGACAACGAACTAGACTGTGTTTTCTGAGACTCAGGTCTGGTTTTATTTGACCAGCAGGTGTCCAGAGACCCGCGTCTAGCTTGATTCCCCCCTCCTCCTCCTCCTATAGAGGAGACGTTAATCTCACCATTGGCGCCTATTGTCCATTTTTCTCGTGGCCCGGGGGTCACGGCTTGGCTGGAGGGCCCGGGGCCGGGCGTGTAGGCCCTTCTGGCGTTGTACAAGTCTTTGTAGCTCGTGTTGCTACTGCCAGGGGTGGTCTGTTGTTTTCTGGAGATGATCGATGTCGGTCTGATATGTGACGTGGCTGACTTCAACGTTTTCTCCTCGCTGAAGCTACTGCTTGGGGAGACTGGGGCGTCCTCGGATCTGACGCTAGAGGAGTTGCTGTTGGACCTGGAGAGTAGCGCAGGTCTCGGCGCTGATATAGCGATAGGTCTGGACTGAGAGAACGTGCAGGATGGATTAAAATCCTCTGTCGGAGAGTTGGAGGCAAGAGAGTTGCTGACTTTGGGCGTGGTAGGACGGGACAGGAACATCGGCTTGGGGATGCGACTAGGTGTGTTTGGACGTTCTTTGATGGACAAGGGGAGATGCGGCTTGGGGAAGTGACCTTCGGAGTCCACGCTGAGGTCACCGTCTTGGGAGTCGTTCTCAGAAATATTGCCACAGATACCAGAGGGGGTCTTAGGTCGGGTGGGAGTCTTTGGTCGAACCGTGATAGGTTCTGGGGTATCCATTTCCGGTCTAGACTCCACCCAGTTCGATATGGCCCCGGCTACTTTAGCAACGGCGTCACGCTTGATCTGGCTAGGTGTTTTTGGCCTGGCCATTTTATACTCGTCTTTACTCCCCGTGGGCGTCTTAGGTCGATAACCTCCCAACGATGTAGGGGTTTTAGGACGAGAGATGGTCGAGTTTTGAAGACTGCGTCGTGAAGACTGCGGCGTTTTAGGCGGGTCGCCAGGCAGGCCTTTGTCCTCGTCTGGAGACTGTGGCACGCTGCTGGCGTTACTCCCAGCACGCCTGGCACTGGCTCTAGAAGAAATGGAATCCCGCACAGACCGCGTCTTCTCCTTCAGCGCCCCACAGTTCAAGTTACCACCAGCTTCTCCAGAACCACGGCGTTTAGAGCCTCGCTCTGGAGACTGCTGTTGTTGGTTCTCCTGTACCGCTAGCCCCGAGCTAAGCAGGGATTTGAACTCGGACAGCGTCATGGTGCTGATCTTGTCCATGCTGAAATTGGTGCTGCTGTCGCCCTCCAGGGAGCTGACGGAGCCGGACTCGCAGACATGCTCCAGGCTGGAGGCGGAGCACCGGGTCACTGAGGGCATCTCGGTTCTCTCGTCAAACGACACGGACCTGCAACACACATACACATATATTTGAGTATCAAGAGAAAAATAACAACATCAAAAGAACATCTAAACATGAGAAAAAACTACTGCCAAAGGGTCATCCATTTGTGACGTCCATACGGGGGAGGGGGGTGTTCCAAAATCCAAAAAAAATTGTGGACGTCATAAATGGATGACCCCTAAATCTTGTGTTGCATTTAAGTATTTATCAGAGTTTCTAGTATATCAATTTTCTTTTATACATCAAACATAAACAATGGAACCTTAATGAGAACTAATTATTTTGGTAAAAAAAGCGACTGTGTTTAATTAAATGACGAGATAACAGACAGGCACCAATCTTAATTAAGGAAAATGGGTTTTAGTGTCCATGCCATGTTTTAATCAAGCAATCAAATCTTTGCAAGCAAAAATGAAATAGCTGACAGTTTTTAGAGGTAGTGCAACCAAGCAAAGCGCAGCAAGCAGGGAAGGAGATCTCTATGCAAATAATTTATTAAGTTTTACTTCAAGGTATCATTCACACCATCCTTACCTCAAGGTATCATTGCTAAATTCACACCATCTTTACCTCAAGGTATCATTGCTAAATTCACACCATCTTTACCTCAAGGTATCATTGCTAAATTCACACCATCCTTACCTCAAGGTATCATTGCTAAATTCACACCATCTTTACCTCAAGGTATCATTGCTAAACTCAATCTTACCTCAAGGTATCATTGCTAAACTCAATCTTACCTCAAGGTATCATTGTTAAACTCAATCTTACCTCAAGGTATCATTGCTAAACTCAATCTTACCTCAAGGTATCATTGCTAAACTCAATCTTACCTCAAGGTATCATTGCTAAACTCAATCTTACCTCAAGGTATCATTGCTAAATTCACACCATCCTTACCTCAAGGTATCATTGCTAAACTCAATCTTACCTCAAAGTATCATTGCTAAACTCAATCTTACCTCAAGGTATCATTGCTAAACTCAATCTTACCTCAAGGTATCATTGCTAAACTCAATCTTACCTCAAGGTATCATTGCTAAACTCAATCTTACCTCAAGGTATCATTGCTAAACTCACACAATCTTACCTCAAGGTATCATTGCTAAACTCACACAATCTTACCTCAAGGTATCATTGCTAAACTCACACAATCTTACCTCAAGGTATCATGGCTAAACTCAATCTTACCTCAAGGTATCATTGCTAAACTCAATCTTACCTCAAGGTATCATTGCTAAACTCACACAATCTTACCTCAAGGTATCATTGCTAAACTCACTCAATCTTACCTCAAGGTATCATTGCTAAACTCACACAATCTTACCTCAAGGTATCATTGCTAAACTCACACAATCTTACCTCAAGGTATCATTGCTAAACTCACTCAATCTTACCTCAAGGTATCATTGCTAAACTCACTCAATCTTACCTCAAGGTATCATTGCTAAACTCACTCAATCTTACCTCAAGGTATCATTGCTAAACTCACTCAATCTTACCTCAAGGTATCATTGCTAAACTCAATCTTACCTCAAAGTATCATTGTTAAACTCAATCTTACCTCAAGGTATCATTGCTAAACTCACACAATCTTACCTCAAGGTATCATTGCTAAACTCACACAATCTTACCTCAAGGTATCATTGCTAAACTCACTCAATCTTACCTCAAGGTATCATTGCTAAACTCACTCAATCTTACCTCAAGGTATCATTGCTAAACTCACTCAATCTTACCTCAAGGTATCATTGCTAAACTCACTCAATCTTACCTCAAGGTATCATTGCTAAACTCACTCAATCTTACCTCAAGGTATCATTGCTAAACTCAATCTTACCTCAAAGTATCATTGTTAAACTCACTCAATCTTACCTCAAGGTATCATTGCTAAACTCACTCAATCTTACCTCAAGGTATCATTGCTAAACTCAATCTTACCTCAAAGTATCATTGTTAAACTCGCGCTGGATAAGCGCACGCCTCGCGGGGTGGACATTCTTTTCGGATTTTCCCCAAACGGTCTCACTGTCCCTCTTGACGTCACCGTCCCTCCTGACGTCACCGTCCCCGGACGTGACGTCAGTAAGTGATGACGTGACGCCATCATAACCCGACGTACGACTATTATTATTACAATCGTCTGCAAGTTTACCAACGTACGAAGAAGTTTTCACCTTGGGTTCTAGAACGCTGTACATGACGATTTTGTGAGAACAGAACCTGATATCACTGCGCATGTGCCAACATCTTTTAAGTCTCTAATCCTCAGTCACATACAGAAATATTGTCTGCGACACCAAAATACGTTTATCGAAATTTGATCAGTACAGAAAAAAAACCCGTACAGAATCTGGGCTATTTCACTTGTACTCTCAATCTTGGACAAGTAGTGCGTAGTTTATTCCCGAGTGCCCCATCAGCGGCATGTAAAACTTTGGTAAATAAACACAGCAAACGTTGAGTTACTGCGGGAACTTATTTCACAAACGTCAGCACTAGCAAAACACAGACCGTTCTAGATTAGTTTTCGAAGAACAAATCTACGAGACATCACCATCTAGCTTCAGTGGGTACAGGAAATAAAAATATTTAACACGGGCTGGTTAAAATAGAGTTAAATAAAAATTAAACTTAGCGTTTAAAAAACGGATGTATATCAACAAGAAATGGAATACACATTCGAAGAAGGCACTGACAGACAGTGTCTCATCAAAGGAGGAGGGGGGCGGGCGGGCGGAAAACATATGCTTTTCCAGTGTGTCCCCCCCCCCGGAGAAAAAAAATCTGGAAGAAATACTGCTGACAGAAGATACTGATAGAAGACACTGACAACAAGCACACTGACATAGAGGACATTGACATATAGGAGACATTGAGACAGAACACACTGACACAGAACACACTGACATAGAACACACTGTCAGAAACAACTGACATTAGACAATTATTCTGGTGAGAGGTTAAATCTAAAATAAAAAAGACAAAACATGCTGGTCTTTACGATTTTCTAATTTTTTTTTTAACAAACGATGTCATGAATAGACCACCGTGCAACATTAATGAGTTTGTAGGCACAAAAATCAATCGATCAATCGATAAGGTGTTGCCGGCACTACACGGAGATAAGTAGACCCCAGTGTCAGACAGGTACTACACGACTGACACATTCACACCGACAGATTATTTCCGATAGTTATATTAACTGGCATTTTGAACTATGGGGGTTCGTTCATACATGACGCAGAGGCGTAGCCAGGGGGGGGGGGGGGTGCGGACCGCATCGGGTGACACCATTTAGGGGGGTGACACCAAGGCAAAAAATAGCAAAATATATAGAGAAAAACTTAAGGGGGGGTGCAAATCGAAAGTTTGAGGGGGGGTGCAAATCGAAAATTTGAAAGTCTGTCCCCTGGAAGGGTCGATATGCCTCTGGGGGGGGGGGGGTGACACCATTAAGTGCCGCACCGGGTGACACCCGACCTCGCTACGCCACTGACATGACGCTAAATTTTTTAGGCCGATTTTAACTCTCCGTTCGTCCCCTATCTTTAGTTGTCATAAAAATCAAAGCCCCCCCCCCCCCCCCACCCTGCGTCACCAAGTTCTACTCTCCCCCCCCCCCCCCCCCCCCCACGGAGTCATAAGTTAAATTAAAAGGTACTCATTTTTCGTTATTTTTGTTATTTAAACATATACAAAAAACGCTGCGTCAGACCCTTGAAAAATCAGAAGGGACGTGTGAGATTAAAATTCTCTCCGAGCCCAACACAGCCTTTTCACAATGGGCTTAATGAACAGTATCGCATAGCACGCAGGATCTTAGAAATAAACACACCTAATTACAGAATAATCTTTTGGCATAAACGTAAAAAAAAATCTGGCATATAAAAAAAAAAGCAAGCTTTAATTATGTCGCTCTCGAGTTACCCTTCATGCCAGGTTGAGAAAGACGAAAATATAACAAAAACGTGTTGAGGCTTGAATCCCCCCTACATAACACTTACAAAAGGCGTAATTTTGTAAGGATTAACTTGATATAGAAGGATCGTAGTTTATTATTTTGGTTAAATTATCCACGCTTAAGCCGCGACCGGTATTTGCCGTAAGCGAGGTCGAATTCCAGTTAATGGTTGAGACGGGTATGACATTTTTGGTCGTCTGAAATATTGATTGCTCAGGTGGGTTGATACAGCAGGTCTTTGATTTACGCTGGTGTGTGTGTGTGTGTGTGGGGGGGGGGGTATACGGCGAGGTTGGGCAGGTCGACGGCAATTAGAGGTGTACACTTCATGTACACACTTGACGTATTTACACACACTTATCAGTAGAAGTATCGGGTGTGTTTGCGTGTACTTCACAGTATACTTCACCGGCTTACTCTTGAGGTAACGCAGATTTGATAGATTTCAAGAATACGGGTTCTACCAAAATAAGTGGAAAATAAAATACCGCTACCTTATAAAACAAGACTATCGGTGAAAAATATAGTTAATTTTTAAATGTTTGTTTTTTAAACGACTAATCTTTGTGTTCGCCTTTGATTGATAAAATAAAAAGTGACAATGGTATGCATAGAAGAAAAAAAATTGAACCATTATTTTACTTTTAAAAATTGGTATATAAATCGGCACATTATACTTATTTGGCCCTTTTAAAAAACAATTAAACCTGCATACTTGGAACAGCTCTGTGAGTGTGTGTGTGTGTGTGGGGGGGGGGGGGGGTCGAAGCTTATTTGTTCACCTTTAGCTACAACGCAACACACACTCGAGTCTTGGAGGCAAGACTCGGTGTTTAAAACAGGTGAATACGTTCTATTTCTCCAACGAAGGCCATCAGTCGAAACATTATGTTGTTGTTATTTTGATCTCTTAAAACTCAAAGAACAAGACTCTGGGAGTGGTTATCATTACCTGACAGCTTCAATGTAAACTTTTTATAAAAAAAATATAATAAAGAAATGAAATGGCTG